CTTGTTAGTCTTCAAAAGGGGCTCGTCTGGGCTTCTCAGTTCTGGGGTGACAGCCCTCTCCTTTATTTGGTCACAGTTTCACTCTGTAGTTATCACCTGGTGTTGTGTTTTGTTTCTCTTCCAGAGTGAAAGAATTGAAAAAGGCCAAGGAACTTGAAGACATACAGCAGCATCCCTTAGCAATGTGACATTGCTTCTCAGACTGTTTTCATTTCTGTTTTTAGCAGAGACATGCAACAACAGACATGCGCATACACACACACACACACACACACACACACACACACACACACACACACACACACACGTACAATCCCTCTGCAGTTCTGGGGCATCAGCTGCAGGATTTTAACAAGAATGTTTTGGTCATTGCATTTGCACTTTCATGGACAACTTTTAATTTGATCAGCAAGACATCTTGGAACTCAATCTTCTGTTGGATCACAGGAAAACAAGACACCAGGAGGAACTGGAAGGGCTTCCCCATCTTAGGAAGAAGCCGCTTTCCTTGTCATTAGGGCTGTATTCAAACATCGTGTGGAACTGTGCAAATATTTATACCAAAAATATAGATGATAACAGGTGGCACGAGGAGTGCCGTGCCCGCACCTTCCGTCACTTCCAGGAAGCTGAATCTTTGGTTCTCAGTGGAGGGCTTAGATCACCCAAGTCATTATTGAGTCTGTGTGTTCTCATTTCCTTCACTGTTTCGTTTCGTTTCTGTTTGTTTGTTTGTAAGTTTGTTTGAATCTCTACAGCACACTTAATGCAACTTTTAAAATCTGCAGGTTTTTAATGTCTTGTGAAAATTTGCAGAAGGGAGGGTGTGTGGTAAACAGGTAATGCACGGGAAAATAATGAGAAACAGCTTACAGAACTTAAATTTACTTTCTTGTCCCCACCACCTCCAAGAACCTGCGAGGATAGTGATCATCTTGTCCCTTTTCTCATGTTCAGCACTTTAATTTGTTTGCCTTACTTTCACTTGCAATGAGAATTACTTAAGAATGGTAAAGCATGTAGCCTTTTTTAGTAACCTTGGGAACTGTAGCAATTCCAAGGAATCACAACCCTTGCCTGGACATTTGCCACCTCAATGACCAGTGTGGTGCTGCACTCTGGCCAGTAAATTCCATGTTTTGGCTCTATCTCATCCAAACAGAGTGGCTTCTGTGTACATATAAAAGGTAGAAATGAAAAAAGCGAGGAAATACTTGAAAGGGGTTATATTAATTGCTAAATATTTTATTCATAAAGGTCAATAACATGGCAAGATAAAATTATTTGTATACTTCTGTCTGAATGAGCGAGAACAATGTGGATGTATTGTTTGTATATATTGTATATATTAAAACAAAGATGTGCATGAAATCAAGAAAAAGAACAAAAGCAAAGCGTTAGTGGCTATGGTCTGTAAAATGAAACAAAAAACTTTATTTCACTATAAGAGTACTTTATTTTAAATGTTCTGTAGAAGAACATTTTGCTAAAGCATGACTAACCTGCAAAAAATAAAAAAAGAGCTACTGTATTTAGAATAGGAAAAAAGGCAGAGTAGCATTACTTTAAAAAAAAAACAAAGGATATGTTTACATTTAATTTTGGCTACCAGGAGTTTATTTTATTTTATTTAAAAATTTTTTTGCCAAAGGTGCCAAGTAATGTGAATGCTAATATTGCTTATGAAAATTAAGTTACTTTTGCAAAATAGATAATCATAAGATGAATCCTTATGGAACTTAACACCATCCACTCACACCAACAAAGAATGTTAGAACGACCAAAATCTGACAGAAGAATTAGTGTGAAATTAGAAAAGTGACATTTTCATATCTCCTTATGAAAATCAGAAGAAGGGTAAAAGTTGCTCACAATGGCGACTGGTGTTGAAGGGATGCCGTGGTATATTTCTCTTTCCATGTAATGAGAAGCCAAAGAAATCTGATGCTTTTAAAATTAAACCATTCATGTCAAACAGAGAGAACCGATTTTGCATTTGCTAATGCCAGTTTAAAATCCCAGCTTAAGTGTGAGAATTGGTTGGTATGAGATTTTCTTTAAAAAATAAAAATAACATGGTTCTGGCTGCCAACTGTGAGTTAAACTCAAGGCTTGTTGTGAAGCCTAAAAATATTCACAAATAAGCTTTAAACTGGTGTCTTCAGAAGGAAGGTAGAAACAAAAAGATTGTGGTTAAAAAAATAAATAAAAACTGGGGTCAGTGCTCTTGGTGCCTTTTCTATAATTGTACTTGTTTTTTAATTACTTCCTTTCACTGCCAACCTCAAATTTACTGTACAGTATCTGTCTTTCTGCTTGTGATCAGCTTGGACAACAGTGACAGCCCCACAGCTAGTAGCCACCTGTACATTTGTAAGCTGACCTGACCCAATTTTGTTTTTACTCGTGTGGGTTATGTTGCAGCTGTTGGAATCCTTGCCCCCTCCCCACCCATACCTATTGTTTTACACAATTTGACCTGTCTGAGGACACTGAGTAATTTATAAAAACACAACTGTATTCATAACAGGGAACAGAATGCAAAGCCAGCTCTTTCAGAATATCCTATATTAATACTGGATTTGGATACATTTACTCCATTGCTTATGGATCAGATAGCTGATCATTCGACCAGAGTGATGACCTCAGTGGATTTGCTTCAACCCTCACATTTATTTTTTTAAACGTTTCACATGCCACATTATTAGCTCAATATGTTAGAAAATCCTGAAAGATAGAGACTTACATAGAATTTAGGAAGTTCTTATGGAGGGGAACAGAAGTAGGGTCAAAACCTACCAGTACAACTGTCAATTCTAGGTGAGGTCGAAGCATACTTTCCGCTGAAACGAAGCATTTCTGACCACCTTTTCTGATTGTGACTCTTCATTTTGAATATGAGGCGATAGGTAGGCGCAGCTTTCTTGGATAATCTGAATTCCCAAGTGCCAGGAGTAGGATTTCATTATAAAATTAATAGCTAATCTTATTCTGTCTCCTGAAGATTTAATTGCTATCCTTGTTACCCATTCAAAATCAGCTGTACTGTGTGAATGAAATAAAGACATTACGACGAACCCCTTTCTGGCTGCACGGTCGCTTATGGCAGTTCCACACAGTAGTTGGCGCCCAATGGGGGGTCCCTGAGACTTGCATGTAAAACTAGTCTAGATGTCTTCTTTTTTTGTAAGTTTTATTTTTGTAACTGTGCATGTAAAGCATCATTGACTCAATGGATCTGTTGAAGAACTCAGCTGCTGGAAACCATGCAAAATGTTTTGAATTGCCCTTAAAATATGGAAAATGTTTTCTGAATGCTTTATATTCTTTCTGCTGTAAATTAAAAATGAAGAAAATTTCCCCATATTTATCTGTGTTTTGCTTTAACCTGACCTGAAATCCAGGGTGTTGAGGTTGAGATCACAGTTAGAACTGGAAGTATTTTTTCACCTTCCACATACAGGGTTTTCACACCCTTTAGAGCCACTTTCCCGAAGAACTCGCTTTGCACCTAGACTGCCTGGTTTCTAAACACATCGACCGTTTGTCTTAAGCGCAGTTAGTTGAAAGATACGTAAGGATCCTGCTCTAAATTCACCTTTTCTCGTACAGCCTAGGGTATCCCTGAATCCCCTGCTTAAGCCCAAGAATGACCCTGAGCCTCTGTTACCCATAGCTTTCAGATGCTCAGATTATGGGTGCCAACAGGCCGGGGTTGTTTTGTTTGCTTGTTTGCTAGTTCCCTCCTTCCAGACAGGTTTTCGCTGTGTAACAGCTCTGGCTGTCCTGAAACTCAATCTGTACGCCAGGCTGGCCGGGGAACTCACAGAGATCCGTCTCAGGCCGGGTTTTATGTGGTTCTGGGGATCAAAACCAGGGCTTTTCATGTGAGACAAGCAACTAAGCTCTACTGGGTAGGTTTGCTTTTGTTTTAAGCCCTTTTCCGGCTTAGCTCACTCAGGGTTCCCTTCATTATTCCAGTCCTCTTCCCTGCGGGGTTCGGCTTGTCTCTCTAGGCGCACCTCACTGGATCTAACCTCAGACATAACTAGTGCCAGGCAGTTTCACACTGGGAGTCCCCCAGATACTTTCTGGAGCCCACTGCATTTTAACGCCCCCCCCCCCCCCGTCTCGCCTGTCTTCACTCTGCCCACTCCTGTTTTACTTAAGCCCAGCTCTGTGCTGCACTCCCGCTTACCCTGGAGCGCCCTTCATGGCCACCGCTCAGCCCAGGACCCACAACCAGGCGGCCCTCGCTCCTTTCCAATTCTTGGGATTGCCGTACTGAGGTGGAAGGCAGCTTAAGTGGCTTTCCCTTAGGAATGCACCAGCTGCCCTCATCCAACCTGTTTAAGCATGCTGGGATACACTGTAACGGATGCTCCTCGCCCCATCTGACCAAAAGTCGAGTGCCCACTCTCTGCTAGGGCCGGAGAGCTACAGAAACGGAGAAACCAGAGTTCCCGACCTCAAGGCTCCCCTCGGGGGCTGTCAATGCCCGCGCAGTGGCAAATGTCCGTCGTCGCTAGTGTGGGCGCGAGGGGGACACTTATCCCAAACCCTGTGGCCGAGCCCCTTACCTCTCTTGGGGAAAGAACCCTTTTTGGTCGTCTCCCCGGGACCCCTAGATTATTCTGGAACGTTAGGCGCGCACGCTGTTTCTTAATACTGTCACGACCCAGAGGGCGACGTTATGCAGGCTCAAAGAAATGTAAAGCGCACTCGTTCTTACTCTGAACTGCCTTTCCAGGGCTAGAGACAGGGGCAGCGGCGACACCCGATGAAGCAAGCGGCCGCGACGCCCGGGCGGCGAGGAGCCCGTCCAAAGGCGCAGGCGCCGCGCCCTAGCCCCGCCCACCGAGAACGCCCGCCCACTCTTCAACGCGGACGCTACTTCCGCGCCCAGCTCGGGCCCCTCCCACTCTGGTCGGCCCGGAGGGTTACAGCCGGAGCGCGGCGCCGGGGCCAAGCCTCCCTGCCCCGCCCACTTCCGGCGCGCCCTCCGCGGCGGCGAGCTTCCCGTCGGTTCCCGTCCGGCCCCTGCTCGTGACGTCACCGCGGCCCCGCCCACCTCCACATCTTCGGTCGCTGGCTGCGCAGAGTCCTCCCGACGCTCGGCCCTTCGCCGCCGCCGCCGTCGCATCCGCCAAAATGTGAGTGACGCGCTGCGCCGCGCGGCGGGGTGGGCTCCGGGGGGCGGCGGCGGCCCCCTCCCGGGACCCTCGTCAGGCGCGGTGGCCGCTGCTCGGGACTCGGACTCGGGCGCAGGCCTCGCGGGCCTGCGCGCAGCGCCCCGGGCCTGAGGTGGGCGGGGGCCCCGCGGTGCGCTCTGCCCTCCGGCGCTGCGGCCCGGGTCGTGGTGCCGCGGCGTCCCCGGGTGCCCCGCGGCTGGCGGGCGGACGCGGAAGGGCGAGCGAGGGTGGGGCGCCGGCTTCCAGAGGAAGCGTCCGCCACACCCCGCGGTTCCTTCCCCCGAGGTCCCCGAGCGGGGCTGGGGCTACCGTGAGCGCTCGCCCTCGGCGCCGCTGCGCTCCCGAAAGTGCGGGCGACCCGGGCACGGCCGGGTGCCGGGGCCCCAGGTGGTGTTTGCAATCGAGCTGCCGCGCCCACAGCGTAACTTGGCCGTGGGTTTCGCTTCCGTTTTAAGCAAAACACGGTCCTGTTTTCAAGTTGGTTTCTAGTGGTGGCGTCCCGGCAGGACTCCGGTAGACCCCTCCACCGAGGGTTGGCACCGCGTAAGATGCACCCGGTCAGACCGCTGTGCCCGGTGGCAGCGCCCGTGAGCCATTGCAAGAATTAAGCTGGACCTGGCTTCACACCGGCCTGCTGCGCGTTCGTTCTGCGTTCGTTCTAAATGTTAGTAAGAGGAGGATAATAGTATCCTCTTCAGAAAGGGGCATTAGGATTCAGAGAGAGGTATGCACGGGCACGGTTTCGACCCAGAGCACGGTTTGTCTGTTCTACTCTCAGATCCTGAGTTCTGTGAGACAGCCATCAGAAGTGTCGTGTCCTGGTGACAGACACGCTGCAGACTGAAAAGGACTGTTGAACCAACGACAGGACGGCTGTTGTGTAGCGAGGCACGCCTTAGGTGTTGGCTTAGATAGAGGGGAGAGTTTAATGGAGGTGTTGAGGACTTCAAGAGTAGGTACGAAAGGAGGGCATGGGTGAATGACGCATTCGGCGAACCTGTGGAGGATGGATGACTTTCCAGCAGAGCGAGAACTGCTGTCACACAAACCCCTCCGTGCACTTTGGCTGTTTTGTGATTGTTTCTAACTATAAGACAGCTCTTGCCACAACAAAAGGGTCAGGAGAATACTGAGTGCCCGTAAACATTTGTGTGTCTTAAAGCAAGTTTTCTGTTTGTTCGTTTGTTTTTGAAAGATTTATTATGTATACAGTGTTGTGTCTGCATGTATCCCTGCAGGCCAGAAGAGGTCACCAGATCTCATTGTAGATGGTTGTGAGCCACCATGTGGTTGCTGGGAAGGACAGCCAGTGCTCTTAACCACTGATCATCTAAAGCAAGCTTTAAAAACAAAACAAAAAACCCAACAACAACAACAAAAAAACAGAAAGTAGAGGGATTATCCAGTCTTGGGATTATGTACTTCAATAACACAACAGAGGTTTCAAACTTTGGTCACTGGTACAGTCTTGGGAATTTTAAGGGATCATAAAAAATGCGTTAGTGCCTTTATTTCTTACTGCAGGATTTTTTTTTTAACTTCAGTATAAGGAATTAGTAAATCCAAATCCTTTAATCCCAGCACTCGGGAGGCAGAGGCAGGTGGATTTCTGTGAGTTTGAGGCCAGGCTGGACCGATAGCCTCCAAAACAATACAGAGAAACCCTGTCTCGTAAAAAACCAAAAAAAAAAAAAAAAAAAAGTAAGTCCAAGTCCTGGCATGACAGTTTACACACACACACACACACACACACACACACACACACCATGGTATATGTTCGAGGGCAAATTTCAGATATGGATCTCTGCCTCCTACCTTATTAGAGACAGTATCTCTTGTTCAGCACTGCGTGTGTCAGGCTAGCTAGCCCTCAGACGCCCAAACTCTCACGCCGCCGCCTCTTCTCTCACTGAAGGAGCGCTGGGCTTTCGTGTTGGCCTCACCTGGCTTATGTAAGTGCATTGGGAATCATAAGATACTCATGCTTGTGCCTTACACCTTTCAGGTCCACAGGTGTGCCTTCAGGAAGTTCAAGTGCTGCTGCTGGCAGCAATCGAAGACTCCAGCAGACACAAAATCAAGTCGATGAGGTACTGCTCTAAAATTCTAAGATGTGGATTTTTAACAGCCATGGTTATTCTGTGGGGTTCTATCAGAAAAAGTCATTGGAGATGGAGAGATGACTCAGTGGCTAAGAACACTTTCTGTTCAAGTAGAGGCTCCAGGTTGGGTTCCAAGTACATATTTGGCCATTCAATTGCATTTAACTCTGGCCTCCAAAGGCACTTGTATGCATCTGCACAGACACACACATTTTAGAAAAGGAAAAAGCATCAATGTGTGATTGCAATTTTGACTATATCAGAAATCTTTCTAATTGTGTAGAGGACCACAGTGAAGATTCTGTGAGAAATTCAGACCAGTATTTCCTTATTTTTTTCATATTCTTTTTTTGTAAGGTTTTTTTATGTGAATTATTGTTTTGCCTGCATGTTCAAGAAGCTGTGTTTTAAGCACAAGGCAAGCTTTTCCTGGTTTCACTTCTCCATTATTGAATCGCATACCTAAAGCATGTGAATCTGTCCCTGAAAGCATGCCCCCAGAGCCACTTTGTAGGGTAGGGTAATTACATTTTCAAGCCAGGGACAAGTCTTTCTGATGGGTGTGTGTGTGTGTATGGTGTGTGTGTGTGTGTGTGTGTGTGTGTGTGTGTGTGTATGTCTTTGTGTGTGTGTGTGTGTGTGTGTGTGTGTGTGTGTGTCTGTCTCCTGTAGCCAGGTTTGCTAGTTACCTAGTATAGCCAGGTCTCCGTAGAGCTTTCTCTGGCAGTAGCTGAAGGATACACAGAAGTTGGAACTGCTAGAGGACTCCTCTGGCATCTTTTGTTTGGATGTATACATGTAGAAACACAGTAAAGATTCTGTGAGAACCTCTAGCTGGCATTTCCATGTTCTTTTTTTAAAATAACAAGCGTTTTTATTTCTCTCATAACTTTAAAAATGTGAATATTCTGTGTTTTAGCCAGAGGCTTTACTTCCAAGTAACTTCTTCATTGGGCCTCAGTTCCCTCTGAAAGCTCATACTCTTACTCCAGAAGGCAGTTAGCTTTTCCTCATCCCTTCAGTCTAGATAGCATCCAAAGACAAATCCCACAGGGGCACTCGTGAACCTAGTGGTCACATTCAAGCTGAAGAAGGTTGCCATGACTGCTGCAGCCCAGTGCCAAACACCACCCCAGCATCAAGGGCAGGGATAGGAACTTTTTCTTTAGGGTTTATTGTTATTTCATCTGTGTGAGTGATTTGGGAACTATGTGTGTGCAGTGTGCTATGTTCATGTACTGTGTGTGTGCAGTGCCTGCAGAGGCCAGAAGAGGGCATCAAAACCTTGGAACTAGCTTTGCAGAAGGTTGTCAGCTGCTGTGTCTGTTCCCGGCCCCAAACCCAGGTTCTCTGTCAGAGCAGCCAGTGCTCTTAACTGCTGAACCATCTCCCAGTTCCCTACTTCTATATCCTTACAGGGCTTCTCTGTGTAGCCCTGGCCATCCTCGAACTCACTTTGTAGACCAGGCTGGCCCAAACTCTGGAGATTTGCCTGCCTCTGCCTCCCAAGTGCTGGGACTAAAGGCACCAACGTTTGGCACAATCTTTCTGCTTTTAATTGTCCTAAAACTAATTATCTTAGATACTGTTATTACATTGTACAGTAATGTTTTGATATGATGGTTCCTTTATGAACTTAGTTCTGAACATTTTAGACCTTTGCACTAATTCTGACACTTGAAAACTCAAGTTGTACCCTTTTTTAGAAATTAAATGAATTTTAAAGAGAATTGAGTTATTCTTTGAGGTAAAATCCTCATAACACAAGCATTTTAAAGTCTCATTTCGTGTGTAACTTGTCTAGGAGAGGCACTGGTTTAAAGTCTCTCATTTCGTGTGTAACTTGTCTAGGAGAGGCACTGGTTGCACGACTCACATCTTCTTGCATTCAGAACTCTTGTCACTGCTGAGAAGCAGCCCTGCACTCGTTTCCTAACCACTCGCCCTCCCGCTTTCTTCTTTGTGGCTTTGGGTTTGCCTAGTCAGGTGTAGCATGTTCAAGGGTCAATGCCAGGCCTCTCTCCCCTCAGTGTGCGTCCACGTTCATCAGGCTGTAGTCTGTGCTAGCACTTTGTCCTTCTCCAGCAGAGCTGTAGTTCACGTCTGCATGGCCATGCTTGGTACCCAGACGTAGTGAGTGGGCAGCTGAGCCAGTCTTACCTCTCTGATGCTGCCGTAAGTGTCCTGGAGCCAGATTGTAAATGTGTCTTCCTTTCTGTTGCATTTGAGTGTAGCTCTAAGAGTAGCATTGCTGGTTCATATAATATTCTGTGGCAATTGATGATTTGATCAATGATTAGTGACAGTGAACATTCTAGCCACTCCCTAAGGAAGTGACTGATCAAGTCTTTTACCCCTTTGTGTTACTGCTGTTAGTTAGCACAGGCTAACCTGGAACTTACTGCCTAGTCCAAGCTACTGTTGAACTTGAGAGCCTCTTGTCTCAGCCACCCAAGGGCTAGGATTGCAGTTATGTGTCTCATACATGCTTCCTTTGCAAATGATTCTATTGTTCTGTCTTTCTGTTAATTTATAAGGCTCTTTTATGTATTCCTCACATTTAATATTTATCAGATACATAGTTCATAAGTATTTCTATCCTCTGAGTTGGTTGAGTTTCACATTCTCCATAGTATACTTTGATGCCTAAAGGTTTTAGTTTTTATAAAGTCCAATTTCCGCACCCCCCCATCTCTGTCTCTCGTCTCAAGATAGGATTTCTTGTCTAGGCTGTCTAGGAACTTGATTTGTAGACCAGGCTGGCCTCAAACTCAAGAGATCCACCTGCCTCTGAGTGCTGGGATTAAAGGTGTGCGCCACCACCTGGCTCCAATTTATCTCTTTATTTTTTTTTTCTTTTGTTGCTCTTGCTTTTGATAGCAAATCTAAGAGCTTTGAGCCAAACCTGAAACTGTGTGCTGGCTAGTTTTCTGTCACCTTGTTATCAGCTAGAGTCATTTTAGAAGAGAGAACCTCAATTGAGAAAATACTCCCACCAGATTTGCCTGTGGGCAAACATTTTCTTGACTGATAATTGATGTGGGATGACCCATCTTACTATTGGGTGGTGCTACCCCTTGGAAAGTGGTCCTGGATGGTGTTAAGAAGCAGGCTGAGCAAGTCCCAGGGAGCAAGCCAGTAAACAGCATCCTCCATGACCATCATCAGTTCCTGCCCTGACTTCCCTGGGTGTTGATCTATAGGCTTCAAGATGAAGATGAGTTAAACTCTTTCTGCCCCCAGTTGCTTTTGGTCATGGTGTTTTAGCACAGCAACAGAAACCTCGAACAAGCTATAAAGTTTTACTTTTTTTTTTTCCTCCTAAGAGTTTTTATACTCTTAGCTCTTAAACTTAACTCACTGGTCTACTTTGAGTTCTTTTTGTATAGAAAATGAAACAGGAACCCAACTTCATTCTTTCCTTATGGCTATTTAGTTGTGCCAGCTCTGTTTGTTGAAAAGAATATTTTCTCCATTTGACGGTCTTAGCATCCTTCTGAAAATTAGTGTGTAGGCAGAGTTCCAGGTTTCCAGTTATTTCCTACTGGTCGTCTTCTGTCCTTATACGAGTACCACAGCTTTCATTACTCCAGCTTTCGGGTGAGTTTTGAAATTGGGAAGTATGACCATTGTAGCTTTATTTATTTATTTATTTATTTTGGTATTGGTTTGCTTATTCACAGTTCTTTGGAATTACATATGAAAAAAAAAGCCTCTGAAATAGGTATTACAAGACAGTTTTTCTGAGGGGGAACAACAACTGTTGTGATTGCAGTTGTTGGTCATTTGGAGAATACTGCCATCTCCACTGTATTAAGTCTTCCAACTCGAAAACACAAGCATCTTCCCACTTACTTTAATTCTCGTAGCAATCTCTCTCTCTCTCTCTCTCTCTCTCTCTCTCTCTCTCTCTCTCTGTCTCTCTGTCTCTCTGTCTGTCTGTCTGTCTGTCTCTCTCTCTCTCTCTCTCTCTCTCTCTGTGTATCTGCATGCCTGTGTGTCTCTGATTTTGCTTGATTTTGAGACAAGGTATAGCTCAGGCTGCCCTTAAACTCATGATGTCTTGCCTTAGCCTCCCAAATGCTAAAAGGTATGTGCTGTTGTACCCAGCTTATAGCAGTGTTATGTATTGTTATGGTTTCTCTTTGAGTGGGTATGGTATATGCATGTGTGTACACAGGTGGTAGCCAGAAGTCAAAGTCAGGAATTTTCTTCTATTTCGTGTATTTTCTTTCCACCTTAATTTTTGAGACAGTATGTTCCACTTAACCCAGAGCTCATCTGTTGCTGGACGAGTTAGCTGGTGAGTCTCTGGGATCCTCCTCTCTCTGCCCTCCCCAGTGCTGGGTTACAGGAGCAGACTGTCACACCATTCTTTGTTTTTATCTGAGTGCTGCACATCCAAACCCAGATCTTCATGTTTATGCAGCCACCTGCTCAGTCTGATGTTATAGGTTTTTATTCTTTCAGATGTTTTGGTAAGGATGCTTCTCTCTTAATGTCCTTTTCACATTGCTCATTGCTGGCACTTAGAAAAATAACTGATGTGTGTTTATCTATCTTAGATGATGCTGCAACTTTACTGTATTTATTCACTATAGCAGATTTTGAATTCTTTTTAAAGTTTGTGGTGTGTGTGTGTGTGTGTGTGTGTGTGTGTGTGTGTGTGTGTGTGTGTGTGTGTGTGTAGGGGTAGAGTTACTTGAGTGGACACAAATGTACCATGGTGCCATGCCATGGTATGTGTGTTGGAAGTCAGGGAACAACTTTCTTGGAGTTGGTTCTCTTCTTCCCCTTGTAAAGTCTATGTCTCTTGTTTCTGCCATTCGGTGCTATGAATGCAGGCTAAGTGGTCCATGGACATCCAGGTGATTCTCCTGTCCCTACTTCTCATCTGGCCTGAAGAGAGCAGGAATGACTGATAGCACAGACCTGGCCCTGAAAGTAGCTGGGGGGAAGACAACACAATACATCCACCACGAGCAGGAGGGGGGGGGCACAATACATCCACCACATGCAGGGGGCAGTTTTCTCTCTCCACCCGTGTGGGTCCCAGGGATTGAACTCAGGTCATCAGACTGACAAGTACTTTTACCTGCTGAGTCTTCAGAGTGTTCTGTAGAATTTCTTACAGGTAGCAGTAGATGCCCTCTTCCTTTCCAAGCAGGACGTCTTTCTTTCCTTACCTGATTGCCCTTGCCAGGACTGCCAGTGTAGTGTTGAACAGCCATGAAAGTGAGCATCCTGTTCTGTTTCAGCCCTTGGAGGAAGTTGAGTCTCTCACTGTGGCATGTAATACTAGTGTGGGTTTCCCCAAGTGCCCATTGTTGAAGTTCACTTCTGTCCCTGGCTTGCTAAGTGGATCTATCACAAAGCGTGGGCCTGCTTATACGTGAAAGTCTAGTGTGCTGATTGGAGAGGGGCGTCCTTGCGGGGCTTGTTCTTCTCCCCTCTGTAACTGTCACCGTGTCCATTTAGGTGGTTGACATCATGAGAGTCAACGTGGATAAGGTGTTAGAAAGAGACCAGAAGCTCTCGGAGCTAGATGACCGTGCAGATGCGCTGCAGGCCGGTGCTTCTCAGTTTGAAACAAGTGCTGCCAAGTTGAAGAGAAAGTATTGGTGGAAGAACTGCAAGGTAGTGCTCTCCTGACAGACCTCACTTCAAGCCTCTCCCTTGCCAGAGCCTGCAGAGTTATGCTCTGGGACTCTGGGAGGTGGGTGGAGTCGGGGCAACCGTGAGTGTACACCCCTTTTCCTTGCCCGCAAGTAGGAATCCAATCCCATGTTTGTGGCTAAAGGTAAAAGACAGGTAGAGTAGGACTGTCCCAAACCAGTCCTGGGCATTAGACCCCGGCCCAGGTACCTGAGAACACACTACAAGAGGAGTGCTGGCTTTGATGCTCAGTTTGCAGGCATTCTGGGAATGGCTCCAATTTCAAAGGTTAAATGCTAAGACGTCCATCTTGTTCAACAAAAGAGGAGAAAGCCACATATGAATAAATTGCTCACAGCAGACTACATGTTAGCAAATGAGAGCATCTGTGATCAGATCTCAAATACTTCCTGTCATGCCTTTTTTAAAAAGGATACATGGAACAAGCTCAGTATCCTGTGTGGAACTCTCGCTTTCCAGAGGCCACAGAGAATTGGAACACACTTTTGAAAGCATATAACTAAATTTCAGACCTTAACTGGAAACATTAAATTTAGGCTTTAGAAATGATAAATTATCTCACACTGTAGCTGTTGCAGTTAGCGCTGTCTGTTTTCCCAATGTTAAATGGACCTGTCTTGTTGCAGATGTGGGCGATAGGGATCAGTGTCCTGGTGATTATTGTCATCATCATTATTGGTGAGTTACCCCCGAGTTCACAATGTTTGTATGTGCAGGAGCAAAGGGTGAAGGCTACTTCATTCCAAGGGTTAAATATTTCTCTTTATCAAATATTTTGAATACCTGAGGGTATTTAGGGATGGTAGTGTTGAGGGAAGTTTGAGGGAAGTTCATTGTTCAACCCAGACTGGCCTTGAACTTGTTATCTTGCCTCAACCTCTCAAGTGCTAGGATTATAGGCATGTGCCACCATACTGAGCCTCACTATGACTTTGTGCGATTAAAGTCTGGTGTTTTGTTTGGAAGGATGGATGGATGGTTGGATGATAGATAATAGATACATGGATGGATGATAGGTAGATGGATGTAGTCATTAACCCTTTGGGAATATGGAATCTCATTGCTACTGACTGGTCAATTTTTCTCTCCTATGAAGTTTTGTTTCCTTTTGTGGAGTATAGTGGTTAGCTGAGACCACTTTGACCATCCCAACTGGCCAAATCAATCTCTTCCTGTCCCCATTTAGACAATAGAAATCCGTATTGAGTATCTATGCAAAAAGACTAAACTGGCCTCTTCACTGTAAATCTTTCCTGCTTCTTAGTGTGGTGTGTCTCTTAATGAAGAACCCAGGAAACTGAAGCCCACTGTTGAGGAGCTTCTTCAAGACTTTCTACTCAAAACCTGCTGTGTTATCAAGCTTACCTACTGTTTTTTCCAAGTGATTATTTTTGTTAGTTTACATACAGTTCAGTGTCTAGGAAATGTGCCTTTGTTTTAATATACACTCCAGAAGGGGTGTGACCTCCCCTGCCCACATTCTGCACAGCGCCTTCATAGATTTCTGCACCAACTAGGGAAGAGGACTTCTGATGCCCCAGAGTGCTGGAGTCTAGACGGATGCTGTCACTGATGACTTGCTGTGGATTCCAGGAAGGGGATTTTGTTCAAGTCAGCTGTCCCCACACTGAGATCGCCTTCAAAACCACATTTTAAACCCTTGGGTGATTAGATTCCCCAGTTGTGCCTTCCGGGAAGAACACTACTGCCTAGTACAAATCAGTGACAATAGGGTATGCCTTATTTTGATACTTGGCTCCTTTTCAGTAGGAGGACCCTCATTTTTGTAAGCACTACTGACCCTGCTGTATTTAAGATGCTTTCATGTTAGGTGTCAACATGTTTGCTCTCTTGTTCTTGTGCATCACTCCTAGAAGTATTTAATCAAAAATAACCCTTTAAAGTTCTTATAGAACTGTGACCAAAGTTTCTCTGTGGCCAAAAGTCAAATACAAATAAAATGTCCATAAGTCTGTTCCTCATAGATTAAATTCACATAAGTGCCAAATGTAACTCAAGGTGCCCTTGAAGAAAAAGAGTTAATAATTACTGTGTGAGCCTTCAACATTTTCCCAGTCCTTCCTCTGAAATACTGTAGATAATGCCCCTTCAGACTTGGTTTCCTCACGGAGCTGTAGAGGTGAGCTGAAGGCACGCCTGTAGTAAGACATTCAGCCAGCGGTTTGCAGACTGAGCTGGAAGCTGTGGCCTCCAGAGCACCGAGCAGCAGCAGTGCGGCGGCCTCACATCAGAGCTCTCGGGCGGGGGCTGCTTCCAGCCATGCCACTTCCTACAGCAGGCTCCGTGCTGCCCTGGAAGGGAGGCGTTGGTCGCTTCCACGTAGATAGCCAGGCAGAGATGCCGACGGAGACACTTTCCTTGTGTATCTGAGCCTTGGATCAAGGGTGGTTCAAAGATGGGAGTTCAGGCGTCACTGGAAGTAAGAGAGCAGTGAGAAGAAACAGGCTTTATTTGCCTGTAGCGGTGCCACCACAGTGCCCTGGAATTTGTGTTTGTGTGCAGAGTGGCATCAGTCAACATGTGACAGAATCTGGCTCCAGTTTTTGATTTGTTCCCTGACATTACTGAAACAATACAAACATCGAAAGCCTGCTCCACTGTGGGAAAGCAGCAGCAGCCTAGGGCTTCTGTCCTGGCCTGACCCCACAACCTTGGTGCTGTCTCCTCCATACTCAGACCCGTGCAACTCATTGGCTCCTGCATTAACACAGTAATACCTCGCTTGTCTGTGCATTTAACTGGGGACTTTCCCGCTATGATGTCCTGAATAAAGTTGTTTGTTACCATGATCCTGTCTTGTGTTCCTTGGGGTGTGGTGGATTCACCTGATCCATGTCCTAAAACTTCTTCCCCTTGCTGTCCCCACCCCCACACACTACTTTTCTTTCTTACCCCCACAGGAGCATGTTTCCATGCGTTAGCTGTGGATTCCATCCCGTGTTAGGGGTCTCTAGAGGAGCAGAACTGATGAGTATATGTTAGCAGATTTATTAGATTGGCTTGTGTGATATGGTCTGCCTCACCTCACTGGAGAGGCTAGAAATGAAGGAACCCCACCCAACCTGAGCATGGCAAACGTAGCTCTGGCAGACCTTGCCCTTCTCTCCCACCCTGTGCCATGCTAAAATCTAAAGCTGCCACTTCCTCATCCTAAGGCTGACTACCAAGGTCCACCTATCAAAGTATTTCAGCTCAGCAATCAAAAGCCCCGTTTGGCTCACCTGATTAACATGCCCAGTTAAATAAACCCTTTATAAACTGCCATTGTCCTATGGGTCTATCTCTTCTCTATCCAGAGGCAGTCCTTTGTCCCTGACCCCTCCACCTAGTCCCCTCCCCTTTTTCTCTCATCCTCTAACCCCGGCCTTTGTCTCTTACTCCCTGCCCTTTGTCCCTCTGGGGCAAATATATCTCCTTTGTGCTGAGAAGTTGGCCCTTGGTGTGCTGAGTCAATCCAGTCCCAAACCACCATTTCCTTACAGAGAACCTCGTAGCCACTCAGTACATGAGGCTGAGTGCTCCAGCCTGGAGTATTCCTGGAAAACCTCTGGTCTTCAGCCCATCTTGAAGCCCGAAGAAGGTGAATCTTGGTCGAGGCAAAGTGCAGCAACAGCAGGGCAGATGAACTTGGCAGTGAGTGAAGGCCCCCTCCATCATCATCATCTGGATTGCCACCCAAAGTTTCCGTCCATGTTTAGGGTAAGTCTTCCCCACTTGACACAGTCGGAGCAAGGAAACCCATCAGGAATGCCCAGCAGCTTGTCTTCAGTTGGTTCACAGCTGAAACTGACCACATACTTCAAAAGAAAAGTGCTTCTCAGTGCAGGGATGAACTGGGAGCTGGCTCGCGTGTGGCCTGTGGGTTTCTTAAATACGATCTTACGGAAAGTTGGCCCTAGTACACCACACTGACACCAGCCCGATGGGTCCATTTGGATAGGTGAGGGGTGTTGCATATGCTGCCCCCGTCTGTCTTTGCCTTCTTTGCAGGCGCCCACCCTCATCCCTCTGCACTTGGAAACAGTGTAATATGGACCAGGAGTTGTTTATGTTGACAACACAAAAGTCTGCTTTTCCTTACGTACAAGTCTCACCGCAGTCTGGCCTTTCCTCACCTGCTCTCATATTGTTTCCGAACCAGGATGGTCTGGTGGGTGCTGTTGAGGTCTGTTGCCCCTCCCCCACATCCTCACCCCTAGGTGTCACTCGGTTTCCCCTTCTTGATGAAAACTTACCCGTACCCCCCCCCTTTAAGCCCATTTCCCGGGCCCCTTGCCCCTCTCTCCCTTATCCTCAACCCCTCCCATTCCATTCGCTTATTTTTTATTACCATGTCAAGACTTTGGTGACTTTCGGGAGTCATTCGTGTTACGTGTTAGGTCTGAGAGATTTTTGTCCTGTCTTCAGAAAGTGCAATCATCTCTGCCCAGGTGTGCACTCAGTAGCTGTGATCTGGTGTGGAGAAAGACCTGGAAAAATAGGTGATTTGTCCAATACATAATGTGGATAACTGCCCCCAGGCACTTTCCGCTTCTTTGACCTAGAACTCCTTTCCTTCGTCCAAAGAAAATACTGAGTGTCCTTTGGTCAGACTTTATTATTTATGTGTTGTGTGTATGTCAGGATACGTGCATTTGCGCGTGAGCAGCTGCTTTTTTCAGTGAGGGCCTGGGAATCATCCAGCGGAAGAGCAGTCGCGCTCCCCGCTCTGCCGCTGCGGCATCTCCTCCTCCCCCCCCGTGTACCCAGGCAGCAGAGGGCTGGGGCTCTGCCCTGCTCATTTCATTTCCCAAGAGCAGAGAGAGTTATAAAAATGAGAGCCCCGACCGTTTTCTGGAAACGGGGCGTCGTTTACATATTTCTGTCTTCCTCCTGTTGCCAAATGCTACCATGTACCATTAAACTTCCATTTCTGAGAATTCGGTGGGATTCTACCTGGGCTCATTCGCTTTTAGCTAGCGGGCGGGAGGACAAAGCAAGTTTAGGAAAGATTAGAACAAAGGGACACCAAGAAGACCCTTGTCTCGAAAGCACTGCGTCCTGAGCACTGCCTCAGTTCCCCCGCGGGGCATCTGTTGCCAGTGGAGCCAGAAGAACCACAGGCAAACCGGGTTCCTCTCACCTGTCCGCCGCGCAGGCCACGCCCCCGGGCCCGCCCTCTCCTGACCGTCAGCTCCAAGGCCCCGCCTCCGGGCAGCCCTGCCCTAGACTTGCGCCACTAAGGCCCTGGCGTCCTCCTGGCCACTCCGCCCCCGACCCGGGCGCCTGGCGGCCGCGATTGGCCAAGAGCCGACCTCGCCCGACCCGCGCGTTACGTAAGGTTCTCCGGGGTCTTTGCACCCGCCCACTCGCCGGCGGTTATGTAACCCCCGCGGTGGCGAGGCGGACTCCGCCCCCGGCCAATGGGAGCTCGCGTAGCCGGCCGCAGTGGCCAATCGCGCGGCGGAGGGGCGGGGCCGGAGCCCGGGGCGCGCAGGGGGCGGGGCCGGCGGCAGCTCTGCACGCGGCTGGCCTCGAGACCCGGCGGCCCGCGGGTGGGCGAGGGCTCCGCGGGGCTGCGGGCGGCGGCGGCGAGCGCTCGGGTGGCGGGAGGCCTGCGAGCCTGCACGACCCGGCGCTGCTGCCCCTGCCTTCCGCCCGCTCACCCCGGGACGTTGTGCTGTGAGGCGTTTCTTGATGCTCGCCGACTTCCCAGCACGGACGGTGGAAAAGTTGGTTCGGGCTGAACAAGCGCTCAGAGAGCCATGGTGGGGTCGTCCGGCCAGCCCGCTTCCGGCGTCGAGCTGTCGGTGTAGCTCGTCACCCGAGCAGACTCTGTGAAAATGCTGAGGAGAAAAGTGCCCCTCAGATGAGCGCGGTCGGCGACCAGTCTTTTCCGAAGGCGATGGCAGGGACCAAAACCAGCCGGGTTTGGTGGCTAGCTGCAAACGGAGAAAACTGAGGGCTGCCAGGCGGGATGGACCCCTGTGGAGACCCGGCCGTGCCCGGCGGCGACTGTCCCCACAGCAGGAGACAGGAGCTCCAGGGGGCGTCTGACCGGGAGGGTCCGCTGCTGGGCACTTTGGTGGACAGCAGCCACAGGTGACTGACGCTAGGAAGACAGTCTGCCTGCCACCCTCGTGTACATTGTCCTTCCCTGGCCGGGAAAGCAAGACTTAAAACTTTTTGACCCCGGGGCGGGGTGGGGCGGGAGGCGACATGAAAGAGAACTTTGAGGCAGTGAGAACTGACCATGACGGAGGGGGGGTGTTATTAAGTCAATTACGGGAGTATGGAAAGGAAGGGGAAAGTGGTTAAAGAATTAGACGGGAGTCAGGGTTGAAGGGAGACGAAGTGTAAAATGTACCCTACCAGGAAGAGAAAGGGCATTAATTAGTTAGCCCTGTGGACCTGAGTGAGCCATCCATCCAAACACCCCTCCCCCCCAAAATCAGGTATTTCCTGAGCGTCCACCCTTACCGCGTCTTGTGTGTGTGTTTTCTACTCAGTAAACAGGAAGACAGAAACAGAATGTCTGAAGAACTTTTAATGGTGGTCCAGGAAATGAAAAGGTCTTTTCCAGCTGAGAGATGCACTAAACCCAGCACCCTAGATGCCCTTAACCATGCCCTGCGCTGTGTGCTTAGCGTGCAAGGTAACAGTCTTGGAGAGTAGGTGGCATTGGGCCCAGAACTCAGGTGCAGTGGGATCGCCAAGAGACTTGAGCCTCCTCGTGGTCGGGGCCAGCTAATCTGATTGAAAGTGGTGCTCTGGGCTTTCCAAAGCCAGGAGAATGGGATTCGTCTGATAGTTTAGTAACTATCTAATCTTTTGCAGATCTGTTGCAAGAGTAGAGTTTAGCAGTTTTAAGTAAAACTTGAAGATTTTTTTCCCGAGGAGCATTGCCAAGAGAAAATGCATGTATATTTTTCTGTCATGCATATACTTTGGAAATGCAGTTATAGAATATAAAAAGTTGACTAAGTTAAAGGACAAATGTTTTTCCTTTCCTTTCTACTGTCCTTCTCAAATATTCCGTAAAGTTGTGAGCTTATTGCAAACCTCCTTGCTTCACCTGTGATAAGTGGGTAGTCTGTGCATGCTAATGTTTCCTCAGTAAAAGTGTGTGTGCACGTGCGTGTGTGTGAACTCTTAATTTCTTTAACTAGGTTTAGAACTTTAAATGACTCTTGCTCCTTGTAACCTAGAACATGCAGGATTCATAGAATCCTTAGTCTTAAGTTTACATAACTAACCATATTTTTGATGGTTTTGAGGAAGACACAATTAAGATGCTCTTTATCTGAGAAAACCAGCCAGCTTGACAGTGCTAAAGCATGACTTCCTAGAGATGTTGTGGTCACCGGATCACCCGTTTATTTCTCTGTGTTTCTTAGCAAACAGTGGATTTTTCCCGAGTCTCAGCCCACATGGAGCACCTCAGGCAGACGTGACTGTGTACAGTCCCGAGGAGCTGGCCTCGCTTGCTTCCGAACTTGCTTCCAAGAACACAGTAAGATTTCATGACTATTGCCATCTCCACTGGGGTGACTTCCTGAGGACTTTCTGCAGGTGTTAAACAGTCACCGAGAGCTTTCCTTGCTGAGGTGAACTTGCTGAAAAGGCGCTCTGTGGTCTCTCCCACTGCAGAGAGAGAGTGTGAGGGCAGACAGGAAGCTTACGCTCTAGCTCAGTCTCCATGCCTGGCTGCCAGGAAGTTTCTTCCCCTCAGCATCCCATGCTCTCTCAGGTTTAAAAAAAAAAAAAAAAACAGCAGCAAATGGAACATGGCAGGGTAATTTCCGGCATCTTATTCTAATCTCCAAATTGTTACTTTCTATTTATATCATTCTTAGTTCCAATACCTACTTCCTCAAATTATAACACCTGGATTTTGTAGAACAGCTGAGTTGAGATGTCATTTTTATGGTGAACTTTTGGAAGAGACCATAGTGTGGTGTGTGTGTGTATTTATATTTTAATCTCTTCTTATTGACAGGGTAATTAAGCCTCATAATTGTGTTGATAGTAGAGACTCCTTAATTAGATGTTTAGACTTCAGCGTCACTTTAACTCACTGTTTTTATAGTATTACAACAGGGGTTGTGTAGTGTTACATAATAGAGCTTATTCTACTAGTGTGCATAGTGCTGTAGTGGGTGTTTAAAAAAACAAGTTTTAAGAAAACATTCACCCTCTAAAATCCTTACAGTGAGTGTACCCAGGGAAACGGGTCCATGTAGCAAGCACAGTGTGTTGCTGACTGTCAATGATGGGAATGACTATAAAGCAGGCCCGAGGTGCAGGCCTTACGTAATGAGGTCTGTCGAGGACAGCTTGTGAAGGAGGCAGGTCTTGAGCTTGGTCTTTAAACGCAGTCTTCATTTCTGACAAGGATATGCCCCCTCCTGGTAGAGACCACAGTTTGCAGAAGAGAAAAGTGTATGTGCTTCGTATATATTTAGTCAGCATAGAAGCTGGCGTGGGCTTTTGGCATAGAGATGAAGCTTCCAGGAAGCCTGGTGTCATTTTTATGTGTCAAGAAGCTCGTTGGAGAAAACTATCTAGGAAGCTGCTTCTTTACGAGGAGCACGTGCGGGCGCTCGTATTCTTCAGCCTCGGGTTGTGGTAGAAACCCAGAAGAAATTGACTTTTCAGAGAACATGTTTGTAAGTTCCTCACTTTCTGTCTTAAATGTCTCTCCTAGGACACGTTTGTGGCAGCGTTTTCATTTCTGTCTGGAAGGTTAGTGCACGTTTCTAAACAGGCTGCTTCGATCCTGGATTCTAAGGAAGATGCCTTGAAGTCCTCACACTTTGTTGACCTGCTTGCTCCTCAAGATGTGAGTGTGTTCTATGCACACACTGTTCGAAGTCAGCTTCCTTTCTGGAACAACTGGACCCAAAGAGGTAATGCAACTAATGTTAGGTTGGGTCCAGGAGCTGGTCATTCCTACAGAAACAGTACAAACATTAACATGCTGTTCACAGCATGCAGACCATGTTGTTTTATTTAATTTGTGTATTTACTTATTTTACTTTTTGAGACAGGGTTTCCCTGTATAACCAAGGCTGTCCTGGAACTCGCTTTGTAGGCCAGACTGGCCTCAAACTCAGGGATCCCCATCTCTACAGCTGAGTGCTGGGATTAATGGTGTGTGCCATAACAGGCTTTATTCTTTTTTTAAAGAACACAATACAATGGTATTTTTTTCCGCTTAGTAACATGACAAACCAATACATTTCTTTTCACTTACTGAAATCTCACAGGTTTTATATGAAAAACAGCTTTGATCACCAGCATGCTTCACAGTGGGTGATTGCTATATAGTCAGTCTTCCCTTTGAATTCATACAACGCACTTTGTTCCTGTGTTACCTTCATGATCTCTTTGTGTAATAGCTTTGACTTTATAGATGAGACTGATGGCTCCTACTCAGTTTTCCTGCCTAAGAGTTCATGGATCCCATCACTTTGTTTCCGTATGAAATGCTGGTTCATCTGAACCAGATATGCAGAGTCACAGCTTTCTCTATGGCATTCAGTCCTGTGTGATTTTCTTTTTAAAGTTACTCTATATTCCTTACATTCTTTGGGAACCATATCATAAAGAACTCAGTATACACTATATGTGTCAGCCTTTCCTTTGATTTCAATTCCTTTTCTGTAATAGGATTTTTATTTATGTACGTACTTAGGTTTTTGTTGCTTCAACAGAACTCCATGGCCTTTAAAAAGCAAGTTGGGGAGGAAAGGGCTTATTTGACTTTTACTTCCAGATCATAACCCATCATTTGGAGGAAGTCAGGACAGGGACTCAAGCAGGGCAGGCTCCTGAAGGCAAGAGCTGATGCAGAGGCCATGGAGGGGTGCTGCTTACTGGCTTGCTGTACGTGGTGTGCTCCGCCTGCTTTCTTACAGAACCCAGGACCACCAGCCCAGGGATGGAACCATCCACCATGGTCTGGCCCTTCCCTCATTGATCACTAATTGAGAGAGTATCTTACAGCTGGACATCATGGAAGCATTTCCTCAACTAAGGCTCCTTCCTCTCCAATGGCTCTAACTTGTGTCAGGTTGACACACAAAACCAGCCAGTGTACCAGGCTTCTCACAAACTTGCTACATAGCCAAAAATGGCTTTAAACTGTGGTCTTCCTGCCTCTGCCTCCTGAGTGTTGGGATTACAGGCATATACCAACAGGCCAGCTCATGTGATGCTGGGGATGGAACCCAGCATGCAGACTCAGCCAGCATCTCCTTGCTGAACCAGCATAACTTTCATCTAATTTTGTTTCAAAAGATTTTTTAAAATTTCATTGTGTGTAGGTGTTTAAGCCTCCTTGTATGTCTGTGCACCACATGGATTTCAGTGCCCATAGAAGCCGTGAAAGGGCATTCGATTCCCTAGAATTGGAGTAACAGACAGTTGTTAACTCATCATGCGGGTGGCAGGGAATTGAATCTGGGTCCTCTAGAAGATCAGTCAGTGTCTTAACCACTGAGCCATCCCCCAAGTGCCCCTTTTCTCTAACTAAAAAAAAAAACAACATTCTTTTTATTTGGAAAACAGGTGAACGTGGTGGTTAATCCCAGCATTCTGGAGGCTGAGGCAGGATGTGGCTCAAGGACCATTGTGGTCTACACAGTGAGAAATCCTTTAAAAATGTAGCACAAGATTTGCCACTTGTAATCGTGTTTAAGTTCAGGGTTAATGGTGTGGAATATGTTTGCATTCTACTGAAGCAGACTGCTGTAGCTCTTTGATCTTTCCACCTCTGCTCTTCTGATTTTTTAAGTCGCGTACTCTCTTACCTTTGTCTAGCTCTGTTACCTTTGTTCCCCATCTTAAAAATACTAGTATTGTTCATCTTCCTTTCCTAAATACACATTTTCAACCTTCAGTTGTCTGTCTGTTGTCTTTCTGTTTCCATTAGTCACCCATTATAAGAACATTCAACACTTGGGGGCAGTGATTTGTTTCCGATTTGACCGGAACTTTTAGATGTTGGGGTGCCAGACATGTTCAAGCGTTACCAGCTCTTTCCATTTTGTTATATTTTTGTCTTTTGCTTTTTTTTTTCTTTCAACAGTGCTTGTACCATCTCTTCAGCATTTTTAATCTCTTCTGGTTTATCTTTGCTGTGATAGTTTCATCCCACCTAAACCTTTAATATGTCCTGAAGTCATTACTTCTGCCATGCAGACCTGACGTGCATCTAGTTTACTCCAGATAGCACACTTCTACTGTGTAAATCTCAGGTCCAGGCTTCAGCTGAGAACAGATGCTAAGCTCCGTGCCCGTTCTGGGTTGTGCCCGGGTTACTGCCTCATTCTCCTCCTTCCAGCTTAGAGGACATAAGCTATGTACCCCGCTGTCAGTTTGGTCATGTTTTAGAACACGCGTCCACTTACATTGTTGTACAGACTCTCAGAAGGACCCGATGGTTGTTAAGAGCTCATTTGCTTGTGAGTGCCTCATGGGCTTGTGTGCACTGAGATCAGAGTCTGGCTCCTGGCTCTGCAGTGCCTTGTGAATGTAGAAGCCTGGTGTGAATGGTGTGAGCGAAAGGCAAGTTTCTGATTCTTCCTCTGGTCTTTTCCTTAGACGTAAGACGTGGCCTCTTCAGTGTTTTGGATCTGTGGGATTCCCACTAGTTATGTCAATGTGTGTATTGTAACAGTTTTTCATGGTTCTGTAACTTAGGTCTTTTCACTTCAGTGAAACGTTTGAGCAAAGGTTCTGCCTCCTCATTTGACTCTAAAGTACACTTCCCTCTGTGTTGTCACCACGTATTTCAGGAAAGCTGATGAAAACTATTGGCATGAGGAAGAGAAAACATAAACGCCACCGCAAATCGGTCTAGTCCTCTAGTCCTTAGCAGTACATGAGAGTCATGAAAGGGTCATGCCTGTAACAGAACACAGCTTGTAGATTTCCCCAAGGATGGAACTAAAGCGAAGGAAAACAATCACATTTATACTTCAGAGAACTGAAATCTGAAAATAACCCAGCTTCCCTAACTATTACAGTGGACCAGACCGTTAGCCCCAAAACAATTGTCCTCAGATCATCACAGTGACATTGGAAATAGTGGGTGTGCTTAACTAAAGAGTGCGGGAAAACCGAGGGGCTAGAGGAAGGAAAGCTCCGAGTGTCACTCAGATGAGAGGAGAGCGCATCTTTCAGAAGTGCTGAGTGGTGGGGCAGGGTGACGTCAGGAGGAGCTGCCCTGAGGGGACAAGTGACCGAGTTTCTCTCTTTCCAGCTTCACAGTGTGAATGTGCACCAGTGAAGTCTTTTTTCTGCAGAATCTGGTAAGTAGAGGATATGGAGGCCTAAAATGTGGCTGTCTGATTTCTACTCAACCCCTACGGTGATCCTTCTGTATTCAGCTAGATTCTGTTATGGATACAACAAAATGAGACAAAAAACAGACAAACCAAAATCTCTTGATTCTTGCTGTAAGAATCTGTATGTGGATGAGGAGAAAAATAAAGACCGAAAGGTAATTGCTGACCCCACGTGACACCAGAGCCCCTGGTTTGAAATAAACAATAAAACAACTATGTTTTGAGGCCCATTTTGCTTGCTTTTTGTTTTTCAGCCACGTTTAAAATTAATTTTTAAAATTTCCCACACCTACATCACCGTTTTTAGAATTTTTAATAGGGATTAAAAAGAAAGTGATCTAGAAGAAAATTGGCAATACTTTAACAGGAGTGACTTCTTGTAGATAGTTGTTATCCTCTGAACAAACTACTATAATGTCTCTTTCATGGGAAAGAGAAAAACTTTTTTTTTTGACACAGGGTTTCTCTGTGTAGTCCTGGTTGTACTGGAACTCACTTTATAGACCAGGCTGGCCTTAAACTTATAGTGATCCACCTGTCTTTGTCTCCTGAGCCCTGGAATTAAAGGTGTACACCACCATGCCCAGCAAGGAAAAGCATTTTTAAGTGTCACAATTGCTAATATTAGTATTGAAGTTAGTAACTACTCCAGATGTTTATAAAAGGAAAAATGTTTATAATGGAAATAACCAGATGTGCTATAAAACAAAAGAGGGATTTGAGCTAATAGTGTTGTGAGCATAGGCAGAAAAGATAACCCAACAAAAAGTCAGCATGGGGGAGAGCTGTGTGGTTTACTGAGTCATTCACAAGTGTGTTTATCAAGAACATGTCTGGAATACAGTAAATGGGATGGGGCGGGGTCCCTGCGGGTGTCATACTGGTACTTTGTCTCATCAGACTTCAGGAAATGTAATAACAGGAGGTTTATTCTCAGTGTATTTAAGCCCAGTACAATTTGAGGAAAAAATAAGTTTCCTGGTGTAATATAATCTCCAGTGCACAAAGAAGCACAATTACATTGAAACTCAACTCAGGGTAATGTCACTCACTCCAAGATGGGCTCTAGAGATAAGCTATGTGTACTAGTTTAAGGGACTAAAGGTCTACCCTGGTCTCAGGTCATACACATAACATAAGGGTCATTTGAGCTGTTAGCCATCTCTGGTCCTGGTTGTGGGAACCTGGGGGAGACTCTGGCTGTATCGTTTAGATTCTAGACATCCCCAGTCCTGGTTTTAGAGCTTGTTGTGGCCTGACCCAGCAGATGACACAGATCACCAGGCTCAGCTTTCTGGAGGGAAGAACGGTATTTTCATCTTTCCCCCTGGAAAGACAATCCTGTGTGCTTAGTATTCCTGGTTTTCCAGAGATCTTTGGGGGGCAGGGACCTTCACTGCTGTGTTCCCAACATAAATGACACACAGGCTTATTATACTAAATATCTTTAGGTCCTATCAGAATCACTCTATTCAAAGCAAAATTTATGTTTCCATGTAAGCAGGAAACCAAATATGAATGAATGTGCCTACTAGCAACAAATTGTGAACAAGAGAGTGAGTTCTGGACAGTGGAGAAATTGCTGTTTTATTTGGTCATTTGTCTGTTTTCTGTTGTAACAAGATCCCTAAGACTGGCTGGTTTGTAAAGGAGAAGTGTTTGGGCTTGCAGCTCTGAGATTCAGAGCATGAAGTCAAGGTCTGCTTCGATTGGGCAAGGTCCTCATGATGAAGGGCAAACTGGCATGGGCAAAAGGCAGAGGGAGTCAGATAACACCATAACAACCAGCTCTTACCAAAGTCAGCCCCCTTGGACAGGGGCTGCATTGATCCCTTCATTGAGGTGGTGCTCATGACCTGTGAGAGCCCCTCCCCATGGCGCTCCCCCCATTGCTCTGGCAGCTAACTTTTGACAGGTGCTTTGGTGACGACAGAGCACATCCATGCTGGCAATGAAGGAGCTCTGAGGGATCCCAGTTGCCGCCAGTGACCTGAAGAAGGTGAGGGAGTAAGCCAGGCACCTTTAGGGAGGTTCCCCAGGAAGCATGGTCCCCGTGGGTGGAGGAGTGTGGAAGGGTTAAGGAGGAACCTGGCTGGACAGAAGGGAAGACAGGAGGGGAGATGGAGAGGGCAGGGACTAGATCACAGGGGATGTCACTTTCAGAAGAAGTATTTTGTTGAGATTAGTTTCAAAACCTTTTCCTTAGTACTTTCTAACCTAACAAAAGCAGAAAAAATGGCGTAATGAACCAGTATGTTCTGCTGGCCCCACTATAAGCCATGGCCCACCTGGTGCCATCTGTTCTCCCCCAGTTCCTCCCCTCTGCTTTCTTACCTCAGATCTCAGGCGTTCCCTCCCTTGGTATTTCAGAGTGTATTTCTAAAAGGCGGAGTTGCCATGCACCTCTGACCAGTAGGAATACTGTTAGGGTAGCTGCCGTGCCCTTGCAACAGTACCCACATGGTCTTTGACAGCCTCCTTTTGCTTTTAGTCGTGAGACCATTCCAGACCAAACATGGACTTTCTTACCCCAGACTTAAGAGTCATGATTTCTCCAGGCATCCCCTGTTGCAGGGGGAGGGCAATGGCATTGCCATTGAGACCCAGTCTGGATGCGGGGTCAGTCCTTACTGCAGGCCTGCCGGTGTTTGCAGACATTGCTAGGTTTTGTTGATCAAGAAAGCATATTTTGATCTGCAAGGACCGTGTGCTCTGCTGTGTGCAGAACCAGGTCAGCTGGAGCACTGAAAGGCTTGGGTTGTAAAGTCAGGCCAGTGGGGTGGTAAAAGAAAAATTTGGATGCTTTATTAATGGGTTAGAACAGGCGCACGATATAAAAAGGAGTAAGGGGTGGCAATAGGAATCTTGAGTGGAGATATTTAAGACCCAGGAGCTTGTAGCAAAAGCTCCTTTCTGGAGAGGTGCTTAGTGTGCCTGGCTTAATCTGGGTCTACGTTGAGACTGCATGAGAACCTAGTTCCAGGTGGTGGTACAAGCCAGCAGGTGATACATAGGGCAAATGTATACAAATGGCATTTAGAACCCTCGGCATGAACAAGCCAGAAGCTCTTCATAGCAGTAGGACGGAAGCTGGGCAAATATGAGCATGAACTCCCGTGTGGCTGGGGGAAGGCCCTCATCCAAATGACTGAACTAGGAAGCAGGCAGCTCTGAGACTGCCTTGGGATTAGGGGTCACTCGTGTAGACAAAGTTAGGAGAGAGGCTCACTCTTTGACAGAGTCTAGAGCATGGTGGCATGTCCTAGTGCCGTAGAGGAGAAACCTTTTGCTCCTCAGAGCTGCCTGGGTGAGAACTGAGAAGGGGTCTGACTCTGCTCCAGAGGCCAGGTTGGCAGCTAGATTTTAATGCCCCTTCCCCCAGCCAGGCATTTTGCGGGACAGTGCTTACCCTCGAGCCAAGCCTGCAGCAGCCAAGCCGGTAGCTGGAGCTTTGGGACTGGGTCAGCTCTTTAAAAGGGGAAGAGGGGCCCTCTAGAGTTGGGTTTGGCCATGTGATCACATGGGGCCCCATTTTCTATTTGTAGCGCTCGGTGTATCTCACAGCAGAAGGGTGAAAGTCAGCGGCTTTAGGGGCATGGTCATGAGCAGGTCAGGGATGGGGTGACTCTCGTGATGATGTAAGCAGTCCTCTGTAAAACCTCTTATGCAGTGAACAGCGAATGTGTGTTATTGCCCAGGCATACTAAGATTTCAAGATAACCTTTCCTTTGGGGAAACAAACATCTCTAAACAATTTAGATTTGGGTCTTTGTTTCTTGGGGATTCCCGATGGAGCATCTCAGCTTTTTAGCCCTGGGCTGAGTGCGGCAGGACCAGCTCTAACCACCTTTGATCTCTCCAGTGGCGGTGGAGACAGAGCACAAAAGAAGCTTTGCTCTCCATTCCGGATCCTCCCCTATATGGTGCACGTTCAGAGCTCTGCCCAGCCAGAAGCAGAGCCGTGCTGTCTAGCACTGGCTCAGAAGATTCGCTCTGGTTATGAAGGTAAGTCAGGATTTCCTGTGCTCAGTGAGAGGCAGAACAAGGAGTCCAGACAGGAGCGTGGGCATGGCTGCTTGTAGAGATCTAGGGCAGAAGACTGCCTCGTGTCCAGTGTGGGCCATAAGCTCTGTGAGCACTTCTAGGTGCTGTTTACTGGCGCTGACTTCCTGTGCTGACGCCACTGCCACAGTGTGGCCTCATGGTCTACACCTCACGCTCAGGTAGATGCATAGGACTTTAGTCCCTTCTCCGCTGCTGACCGGATCTATGGCTTTTTACATCTGTCTTGTGTGAAATAATAGCACTAAAATTGTTACATGAAGAGGCCACGAGAATGATTGAATTTGCCTCATAGCACATGCCTTGAGGGACTGAGGAATGAGTGCCCTGGACGACAGAACAAGTTCAAGGCTAGCCAGGCCTACATAGTGAGTTCCTGCCTCAGCAAGCCAAAAGCTGGAGGTAGCACCGAGACAGAGTACTTGTCACGCTGTGGAACTACAAGACCCTGGGTTTGATTTTCAACACTTGGTGGGGGGTGGGGAAACCACATGTTCCAGACGTGTTTTGAAACTTCCAGGAATTATAGTATGTATATTCAATAAACAAGAAATGTATTTCTAAACTTGTATATAGGCAGCTTCCATTGACTACCTAGAACCACAGTTGGTTCTGATGAGACATGATATGTGCTTTCCACCCTGTAAGTCACAATAAAAACAGGACTGTTGAAAAGATTAGCTCAGGTCAAAATTTGACTTACGTCTTTAAAAAAAGGAGAAAGGGCCTAAAGAGATAGATACCTCATCAGTTAGGAGTGCTTTGGGCTCTTCAGGGGACCCATGTTCAATTCTCAGCACCACATTGTCTAAACTCCAGGCAGAGGATCTCACACCCTCTTCTGACCTCCTGCATATACATGCAGGCCAAACACCTATGCACATAAAAAATTGTTTTGAAATGAAATAGTAAAACTGTTGGTGTGTACATTAAACAATAACCCAGCACTGCTGTAAACGTGGCTTGGGACACACTGCGGTAGCAACAGAGTTGAAAGGTGTGCGTGGTGTGTGTAATCCTGAGTAGCTCCAAGCACCGAACGTCCTTTTCCACACTCTCTTAGGGTTTCTTGAAGTTGAGGTCATGCTTGAGTCACTGATGTAAGCCTATTCTCAGAGAGTGCACAGTTTAGATCAGAGCCTGCCTGACTCAATGGTGCCAATTTTATTACCTAGCAAATTGCTCTAGTGCTATTTCAAATACTATTTACATATGGCCACCAAAGAATATTCAGCCATTCCCTTACTCCCACTTTAACTATTAGATATTTGTGATAAAGAAATTAGTTATTTAGAATACAGCAGACTTTGTGTACTTAAATTAACCATAATATAGTAATCACATATCTACCTCATTAAAATCAAGTTAATAATGAAAACTATCATTATTTTGCTGTAGCTTTGACTTCATGACACTCAGACCTTAGATTTAAGTTAGGTTTCTACCATTTCATTTGGAGGTTTTATTCCTTGCATGTTTAGTAGCTAGTTTAGTTGATGATTAATTGTATATTTGACCCTTATTCAGTCTTTCTCCTTTTTTAATAGCTCCTCGAATCCCTGTAGATAAAAGAATTTTTACCACAACACACACCCCAGGATGTGTGTTTCTTGAAGTAGATGACAGGTAAATACTTCTTTGAGCCTAAGAGAAATTTGTTTCGGAAGACAAGCCAAGGTACTAGAGGGCTGTATTACGGCTTTGCGTACTGTTCTATATCCTGTGACAGACTGTCTGTTCGCCCTGGTGGTGCCTGCTGGCTACAGTGCAGCTTAAATTGAGTCTTCTTAAATATATTTTCAAATCACATTTATTTATTTGTGTGTGTGTCTGTGTATGCAAGCATGTGTGTGTTTGCATGCACATGTGGGATCAGAGGCCACCCTTCTGGTGTTGGGTCTCAGGGATCCAGCTCAGGCCAGCGGGCTTGATGGCAAGTACTTGCACCTGGTGACTGAATTTTATTGTAAACATCTTATATATTGTATTTTTAAGAGTGATTATATGACACCTTACTAGATTTCATGACATTGAGGCATAAGTGGCTCAGGTGTTAGTTACTCTTATTTTTCATAAACCAGTTCACCAAGAACGTCTAACTGTACTCAGCTTAGGACCAAGACTCAAATCCTTTAGCATTTACTCTCATGGTATTAAAGATTTTTTTTTCTCTATTTTGACTTACATTGCCTTTCTGAGAGCAATTTTAAAATGGCTTTGTTATTTTTTGAACATAGTGATAGTAGTTGGTGCTTATTGCTGTTTTTCAGGTTTTTTTTTTAGAAAAGAGTTATTTCCTTTATATGTGCAGGTGTTTTGCCTGCAGCTTCAGACCCCTGGAACTGAAGTTAGAGATGGTCGTGAGCCGCAGTCTGGGTTCTGAGAATCGAACTCAGGTCCTTGGGAAGATCGGTCAGTGCTCTTAACTACTGAGCCCATTTTTCCAGCTCCTGGTTCTGTATTTTTATTTGCATAAAGCAAATGTTGGCTGGGTGGTGGTGGTGCACACCTTTAATCCCAGCATTCAGGAGACAGAGTCAGGCAGATTTCAGTGAGTTCAAGGCCAGCCTGGTTTACAAAGGGACTTCAAGGATAGCCAGAGCTGTTACACAAAGAAACCTATTTTGAAAAACAAAAAACAAAAAGTAAATGTTGGTATCGTTTTAGTATATGCAACCCCACTTACACACTTTTATTTTGGGATTTTATTCTTGAAATTTGGAAATCAGAAACAGGACTAAGCTGTGTGTTAGTGTAAAGGGAAGCACAGAAAATGTTTATGGAGTCTGTTTTGTCTAAGTCATCCTTCCAAGGCTTCTTTATCCTGGAAACATTTCTGTGAGTTTCAGGGTGATAGTTGCCTTTGGATACTATATTTGACTTTGACATTACATTGTATTCAGTTATTATTAACCATGTTTTTGTTCATCAGCCTTTGTTACTGTGGTAAAAGACTGGAAAGAAGGGTTTAGTCACTGCAGTTTCAGGCTGGCTCCATTGTTTTGAGACCTCCGGTGGGGCAGGGAATCATGGTGGAGAACACATGGTGAAGTTAACCTGCTTACCTCCTGGGACCAGGAGGGAGAGGAGGCAGGACAGGGACCTGAGTGTAGTTACCCCGAGTGAAGTTAACCTACTTACTTCCTGGGACCAGGAAGGAGAGGAAGCAGGACCCGGACCTGAGTGTAGGAAGCAGGGAGGAATGCTGCCTGCTGGCTCACTCCCTGACACCGCTTTCTACACAGCCTGGGACCACCTGCCTAGGGAATGACACTGCCCACTGTAGACAGGGCCCTCTTACACTAAGACAGCTGAGGCAATTCCTCACAGATGTGTCCACAGACTGGCATGGCATGGTGAAGGTAACTATTCATTGAGACTCCCATGGGGTGACTCTAAGCTCTGTCAGGTTGACAGTCAGTGCCAGTTCAGGCAGGGCCTGAGGGCATGCCCCAGTACCCTAACTTCTTTCCACAGGGCTTTGCCTCCTGAAGGCTGCATCCCTCCTGTAGTGCCGCAGGCTGGGGACCAAGCTCTCAGTGTGCTATACTAATCTTGGGGCAGTCAAGGTCCACACTGTTTAAATATTGTGCAAGTTCCTAGCCCACTTTGTCATCAGTATCCTTCTGTTACCATGTGCTCTTTCTAAATGACAACGTAGCAGAGAGCTCAAGACTCCCAAGGAACTTGCTGAAAACTCATGTCCATGTTGTCTCCTGTGGCATGAATTCTCTTTGGGTGAAAGCAAGAGGTCAGAGAAGCAGAGCGGCAGCCACTAGAGAGTTCTCACCTCCACCAATGCTCAGACCAAAGGGACAGTCCTGTCCTCAGACTGCCATGAGCTCCCGTCTCCCCCCACCTTATATTCCTGTCTCCACCCAGCCATATCTCTTCCTTTTGCCACCTCCCTTGTGTTAGGATTAAAGGCGTCACTCTAAGCGCTGGGATCACCTTTGTGTGAGCTCTGTTTCTCTTTTAGACTGGATCAGTTTTGTGTAGCCCAGGGTGGCCTTGAACTCACAAAGATCAGTCTACCTCCGCCTCCTGCATGCTGGGATTAAAGGTGTGGCCAACACTGCCTGGCCTCTGTGGCTGACTGGTGTGGCTAGCTTTGCACTCTGATCTTCAGGCAGGCTTTATTTGTTAGATCATAAACAAAGCCTCACCGCAGTCTCCAGAGTTTCTGACCCGTAAGTTCGCAGCCTGGTTTTAGGGATTGTGTTAGCTGTGTCTGTTCGCCACAGCACAGGCATTTAGGTTTTTGCTTTCATGGGTACATTAATGAACACCTCATAAATGTTCATCCTGTTCGGAATTAAATAGAGAAGCTAGGGTTTGGTGTGGTTTTTATTTTGCAGAGTGGGAGATCGAATCCTTGTGTATGCTTAGCACATAGTCTCCCACTGAATCACATTGCCAGCCTGAGTGGGTATTTTTAAGTATATGAAGACTACTTAGTTGCTTGCTCAGTATAACCTGCTTCCTGTGCTGTGTACCTGTGACAGGGCGGTGCCTCTGCTGGGTTACCTACCTCAGGATCTGATTGGAACGTCGATCTTAACGTATTTGCACCCAGAAGACCGGCCTCTGATGGTCGCCATACACCAAAAAGGTGGGGCCAGCTCCTTTATGGAAGTGTTGTTTGCCACTGATTGGTTGTAGTTTTCCAGTTCATTTCTCATGAGAGTTTTTCCTTTACCCAAATAAGAAACGTATTGCTACTTTAAAGTGCTGAGAATTCCCAGATAGCTGACTGAAGCCGGGCCCTTGCGGTCTTCCCTGTATAAAGTCTTGTTTTCGTCTTGATGCTTTACATAGTTCTGAAGTATGTGGGCCATCCTCCGTTTGAACACTCGCCCATCAGATTCTGCACTCAGAATGGAGATTACGTCATTCTGGATTCCAGCTGGTCCAGCTTTGTGAACCCCTGGAGCCGGAAGGTTTCCTTCATCATTGGCCGCCATAAAGTTAGAACGTAAGTTCATCAGTTGCTGCTGTGGAGTGCAGAGGTGAGTGGGGCAACTGTCCCCTGTCACAGGAAGATGGACAAGGTCCTGAATTCAGGGTTTGCTGTTCCTTTCATGGCACTGCCAGCACTCTGGTTTTTCTGATGTTTGCCGTCGTGGGGTGGTGTTTCGTCTTCTAGGTCACTGCAGCTGCACTGTAGACTGTAACTCCAGGTCCAGGGGACCCAGTGTCCTCTTCTGGCCTCTACGGGTGCCAGGCATGCACATGGTGCGCAGACTTACACTCAAACACCATACACATAAAAATTAAAGTTAAAATTTTTAAAGGTTTCATTTTGTACGTACAAGTGTTTTGCTTGCATGTATGTAAGTACATACCTGGGGCCTGTGGAGGCAAGGGAAGGACATGGGGTCTCCTAGAGTTGGAGTTATACATGGTTGTAAGCAGCAATATGAGTACTGGGAACCAAACCCAGGTCCTCTTAAAGAGCAGAAAGTGTTCTTAACCATGAAACCATCTCTTTGGCCTCTGGGTTCGCTGTTTCTTGCTTAGTTCTTCCATCCAGCCTGAGCTGGGCAAGCGTCCTCCTGCTGGGCTACATCACCCAGCCTCACACTAAATGTCAGGGATAATGCCTGCATCCTAAGACTAAATGATGTGCTCTATCTGACTCAGGATTCCTCATTTGATACCCAGACTGGTCCTTCCTCTATCCCTTCTCTCCCCTTAATAACTCGGGGACCCGAAGGAGGTTGACATCCCATTGAAGGGATGATATTTGTAAAGCAATTGGAACATGACTATCACTCTAACAGTGGTTCTCAACCTTCCTAATGCTGGGACCCTTTAATACAGTTCCTCATGCTGTGATGAACCCTAACAATTTGTTGCTACTTCATAAGTGTAATTTTGCCACTGTTACAAATCATAATATAAATATTTTTGGAGATAGGAATTTGCCAAATGGGTCATAACCCTCAAGTTGGGAGCCACTGCTTTATGGCTTTTGAAGATGTTATTTTCATATTCTTAAAAACTAGCACAGTTTTTAGGAGGAGGTCCCAATAAATGTTAGTTTCCTCCCTTTATTATCTTTGTGGGCATTCTCTATATTCAGGTCATAACTTGTTTTTTAATTTGTCATGTAAGATGGGGAACACCCACATATGTAACATGAACACACTTGTGGGGCTCAGAGAACATCTTTTGTGGGTATCGCCTTTCACCGTGGGTTCTGAGATCAAACTCCAGTCATCAGGCTTGCCCAATAAATGATTTTAACACTGAACCATCTCAGTGGTCGATTTTAAATCCTCTGAAGTTTGTAAATGAGATGGGAGGTGGTACTGTGACACCTCATTCTCACCACTAGGGTAAGGCTATAGAGCCCTCTTTACCAGGTAATGGAGGTGAGTAGCAGCTCCAAGTTTTATTTATTTGTTTTTGGGATTTTGAGCCAAGGTCTCACCATGTAGTTCTGGCTGTCCTGAAACTCACTCTGTGAGCCCACTGGCCTCAAACTCACAGAGATCCTCCTGCCTCTGCCTCCCAAGTGCTGAAATTAAAGGTGTGTGCCACCACACCCAACTGAAGTGTTTCTCATTTTATTCTTACTGTTTTTTAACTATGTGTATGTTAGGTGTGTGTGCCTGCACGTTGGGTATGTGCGGGTAGCCAGAGGCACCACACCTCCTGGGAGGTGGAGGTATGGATGGTTGTGGGTCACCTGGCAAGGGTGGTAGGGGTAAAATCCAACTCTAGAAGAGCAGCAAGTACTCTTAGCCCTGAGTGGTGTCCAGCCCAGCCTGAAGCCTTCACTGCATGGCAATGTCAGGTTAACACTCCTACAGGGACTCTCATTCAGTCAGATTTTGAAACCAGTCCTTACTGAAGTAGCTGGTCTCTGGTCTTACGTATGCACACACATTACTACATTTATACACAATACATGCACATCCAGGACCTGTTAAATAGACATCAGTGCTGTAGAGAAACTTAAACTGTGTCCGGTGTTTGCCTGTAACCCCAGTTCTCAAGAGGTATAGATAGGATGATCAAAAGTTCCAGGCTAGCCTGGGCTAATTGTAGTTAGACTTTGACTCAAAAAAAAAACAAGGACTGAGGATGTAATTTAGTAGCAGGGTGTTTCCTAGCAACAGAGCTTATTCTGTAAATGGTTTGTTACAAGCACTTTAGTCTTGACTTTGGATTAATTTGGTTGCTTGGCTCATTGTTTCTTTTGACGTTTTATTATAGGAGTCCATTAAATGAGGATGTTTTTGCTACCAGAATAAAAAAGGCAACTAATAACGACAGAGACATAACAGAATTACAAGAACAAATTCACAAACTTCTTTTACAGGTAAAATGAGAGGTCTTAAGAGCACATCACCCCCCAAACTGTATTTTCTGTTGTTCAGTCTTAGTGAACACGCTGAGGGGAGAGGAACCTTTGCCTCCACATCTTAGAGATGTTTGCTTTGCTCTTTGTGGCTGTGGGTTAGGTTCTGTCCATTTGGTTCCTTGTGCCGTGAGACGCACAGGACAGCTTTGGCTGCCTTGCTTCAGCACAGGAGACAGAGAAGACAGCGCTGCTTCCTGGTTCTCTTCATGAGAGAATTCTTTTCATGCTTCACACACCAGCAATGTGCGCAGCTCCTGAGTTTGGGCTTCGGTGTTTTAAAAAATAATTCAGTTTTTTAAAGTAGAAGAGGTGTGCTGTTGGTCTCAGTTTCTCGTCATTGTAAGGGAAGACCAACCGAAGGTGGGTTCTGTTAGTAAATAAAGTCAAGTGTGTCACACGTAGAATGTGAGTCCAAGGGTTTTCAGAAATGTCCTTTTTAAAAAATTATTTATTTCACTTTATTTTATGTACATTGGTGTGAAGGTGTCAGATCTCCTGAAACTGGAGTTACAGACAGTTGTGAGCCACCATGTGGATGCTGGGAATTGAACCTGAGTCCTCTGGAAGAGCAGCCAGTGCTCTTAACCAATGAGCCACCTCTCCAGCCCCCGGATATGTCTTTTATAAAATCTCTAGGGCTCATGGATTGTCTGAATTTTTGTTTTTATTTCATGTGTTATGTCTATTCTAAATTTAGTTTAAAGAACTAAAGTTTGTTTTATTATTTATAATTTACAAAAATCAGTTATCAACTGGGCACGTCTTTAATCACAGCACTCGGGAAGCAGAGGCAGGCGGATCTCTGTGAGTTCAAGACCAGTCTGGTCTACAAGAACTAGTTCCAGAACAACCTCCAAAGCCACATAGAAACCCTGTCTCAAAAAACAAAAAAAAAAAAACAAAAAAAAAAGAAGGAAAGAAAGAAAATCAGTTATCTTCCAGCATCTAAAAGAACATGTTGCTGTACTCCCCACCTAGACTAGAAGGTTAGGCTCTGCCTTGAGCATAGGAAAGTGCTGAGCTGTGTCTCACACCAGCATCCAGGCTAACAGCTTCACCCTCCCCATGTCTGCTGTAGCCTTTAAGGAGCTCTTAGCTTTGTCGCGGTCATAGACCTGAAGCTCTGAGGTGAATCATGTCTGTACCACTTACACAGCAATAACTGAACGGGCCCTTCCTCCTAGCCGGTTCACGCCAGTGCCTCCAGTGGTTACGGGAGCCTGGGCAGCAGTGGCTCCCAAGAGCAGCACATCAGCATCGCCTCTTCCAGTGAGGGGAGCGGACCCTGTGGAGAGGCATCGAAGGAGCAGGTGTGTGCGCGTGTGTCTGTGTGGGTGTGAGCTGTGGAGAGGCACAGGAGGAGCAGGTGTGTGCGCGTGTGTCTGTGTGTGTGTGAGGAGCAGGTGTGTGCGCGTGTGTCTGTGTGGGTGTGAGGAGCAGGTGTGTGCGCGTGTGTCTGTGTGGGTGTGAGGAGCAGGTGTGTGCGCGTGTGTCTGTGTGGATGCTGTTGGTCCTCACCCGGTGACATCTTAGGATTGCCATTCACAAATTTCAGTTTATTTTAGAAAATTACTTGAATGAATATAGATAAATGTCTGTAAAAAGGAAGTCTGAGGTAGGGTAGTGGCACTGCTTATAATTTCAGCAGTAGGAGTGAAAGCCAGAGTTGGAGGCCAGCTGGGCCACGTGGTAAGACCCTGTCTTTTAGAGGAAAAGGATCGCGCTTTCCTAAAAGCGGCGGAGCATGGATAGATGGATGTACGCTTTGATTGGCGTCATTGCACAGCGGCTCAGCAAGAAGTGGAATTAAAGTGTCTCACAGACGCAGACGTTAAGTGTGTACTGTGTGTGTGTCTTTAGTGCACACGTGTGCATTTCTAAACCCTATCCTGTCATTCTTCTCCCTAAGATGACCTTGCAGCAGGTCTATGCCAGTGTAAACGAAATTAAGACTGTGGGTCAGCAGCTCTACATTGAGTCGATGGCCAGATCAGTCAAGCCTGTGATGGACACATGCATGGCGCTGCAGGGTAAGTCAACAGAGTGGCCCTCAGCCGCTCCTGAGTCTCTCTTCACAGACAGCAGCGTGTATGCATGCTGAACAAAACACCTGAGCCCTGGGCTGCTTTCTAGCTTGCTGAATTGCCCAAAAAATGCCCCTAATAACACTAACAATAGCAATGTACTAGCTGTACAATAAATACCACTTGGAAGCTAAGTAGTTGTAAAATATAGATCAGTATGCTTTAATAAAGAACTAACTATGTTGACAGCATCTGTTGTAGTTAGGTGCCCTATTGCTGTGAAGAGACACCATGACCACAACAGCTCTTACGAAGGAAACTCACAGTTTCAGAGGTTTAGTCCATTGGCATGGTGGGAAGCGTGGTGGTGTGCAGGTAGACTTGGTGCTGGAACTTACGGTGCTACGCCTTACAGGCAACGGGAAGTCAGCTGACAATCACACTGAGGGAAGCTTGAGCGAGGGACCTCAGCCGGCTCCCATGGTGACTCACTTCCTCCAGCAAGGCCACACCTCCTAACAGTGCCACCGTTGGGGGCCATTTTCTTTCAAACCACCACAGCATCAGATTCTTAGTTTCTTTCCTTTCTGAACTATCCAGATGCAAAAGAAAATATTTTTAAATACATTTTGGGTAATCGAGTATATTGAAATAATCCTTTTCTGTAATTTCAAATAAATGAAGAATTGAACTTTTGAACCTTTCTTGAATGTGAGGTAAAAGTAGTGGAGTCAGTTATATTTAGTGGTATTATGTTGGAAAGCTACCTAGTTACATAGCCAGCAGAGGTCTGTATTAAAGGATTGGGTCGGATTGCTGGGGACAGAACCTAGAGTCTTGAAAGGCAAGCACTCTCCCACTGAACCACACTGCCCACCTGTGTACACTGATTTATTTACTTGTCTATTTTTTTGTTTTACGCATTGATTGTTTCTAACCTATCTTTTCTTTCATTTTGCTCCTTAAAGCTTAATATAACTTTAAAAATGAATTTTGATCATGTAAATTTTTAATAGTATTTATCATTGTCAAATGTAAGCATATGTAACATGGGTGACATTTACTTTCTAAGACCAGTAATAAGAGTAGCTGAGTTGTTCAGGATCTGCCGTGACTTTAAGGCAGCTTTCTAGGGCGGTGCACAAGTGTGAGCACTGATGTTCGGATCCCCAGGACGCATGTAAAGGCCAGGCATGGCCGTGTACGCTGGTAACTCCAGTGTTAAGGTGTGAGGACAGCAGGGCCCAGTAGCCAGCCAGTCTACCCAGCACTGTCTCCAGTGAGACCTCATCTCAAAAACAAAGTGGAGAGCACTTGACCTTTGCTCTCTACTCACAATCCAACTCGAACTACAGATCATACATCACTGCAGCCTTGGGGACTGTGTAATAGTCAACGTATTTAAGATCTCCAGGTGTGATAGCATGGACCCCTGCAATCAGGAGGCAGAGGCAGGTAGATTGTTGTGAGTTCCAGGCCAACCAGGGCTGCAAAGTGAGACCCTATCTTCCCTACATGGCTTTATTTTGTTTTTCTAATATTGTAATTTTCTCCCCCACACACAGGGTTTCTCTGTGTGACCCTGGATATCCTGGAACTCTCTCTGTAGACCAGGCTGTCCTGGAACTCACAGAGATCTGCCTGCCTCTGCCTCCCGAGTGCTGGGATTAAAGGTGTGCGCCACCACAGCCCAACATGATACTGTAATTTTCAAACAAGAAGCCATTTGTCTCTCACAGTGTGGAAGGTAGGATGTCTGGGGTCAAGGGTCAAGGTAAGGAAGGCTCAGTATTCAGTGTGAGCCAAGAATGAGCTTGAATCCCCCCCATTCTCCAAAGGGAAAGGAAAAACTCTCCCTACATGACAGAAGAACAAAACAACAAGAGCCTGAGCTAGTCCCCTCCATTATCACCCCATGGTTCTGAGATGGAGCCTTGCTATGTCACTTCAGTTATCTCAACCTGAGGTAAAATAACCCTTCTGTAACAGCCCCCAACATGCATGCCACCACATCAACCCCAGCTGTTTTGTAGGGTCACTAACCCATTCACAGAGGGACATGTGAGAGACACAGGAATAAAGACGAGCGTCAGACCACACTCAGAGTGAAAAAGACAGCAAATCTGTGACCTTTCTTTACCCAGTGGGATTATTGAAGCAGCAGCCCAAAGTTCTAGAATCCAAGGAAAGACTCGTGTCGTAGAATATTAATTTAAGGTGTGTTACTTTTGTTTATGCTCTGGAACATTTGTTTCATGATGCAAAGTTGTGTTTGATTAAGTAAAATTCATCTGTGGTTAGGAGGCTGGAGCAGCAACTAGCTGACAGGAAGTGGGGGTGAGGACCCAGGTGGAGAAGGATTTTTAAGGAGGGGAGAGGAGAAGCACGAGGACTTCTGGAGGGATGTGAGGACATCTGAGCTACTTGCTGTTCAGCCTCTCTGAGGAGTAGAATCCCACTTCAACCTTTGAGTCCTGAGTTCTTTAGAGGGACAGAGATTTAGATTCCCTCAGTCAGTGGCTCTTGTGGCCTAACCACTGCTGATTGCCGGGGAGTTGCAGTGGGCTGATTCTGACAGCCGTGGCATAAAAGGCAGAAACAATTTAAAAAGAGGATAACAGACTCAGACTTGTGGAACAAACAAGGCAAACAGCACGGACCGCTGCTTACTGGCCAACTCACCAAGTGCAGTGCTCACTCAGTCAAGGGACTTGTAAGAGACAAGTCGTCACTGAGGTAAATGCAGAGATGACAAGAACTGAAAATGGAGCACATATCCCAGACGAACTCTCAAAACAGCCACCACTTGGAGCACAAAGTCCGGCTGGAGGAATCTGGAAGCAGATTCCTTCATGAAACCATGCTGGTAACAGACTGCAAGCCAGGCCTGAGGTCACATTAACCTAGCACAAGTCTTTACAGGGCTGTGGGTGCTCAGCCTCTGCTGTCCTTGACAGACTGTAGCACAAGTTCTGATTGTTCTTAATAATAAAACTCAGTCAGCTATCGGGGTGAAAGCTGAAGGATCTGAGAAGCAGAGTGGCCAGCCATAAGACAGTTTCTTACTCTACCAGTGATCGGACCAGAAGGGCGGGCTTGTCCTCAGGCTGTCTAGACTGCATCCTCGGACTGCACTGCCTCAGAGTAACTGCTCTTGAGACTAGGCTGCAATGAGCTCCCATCTCCTCCCACCTTACGTTCCTTTCTCCACCCAGCCATGCCCCTTCATGTCTCCACCTCCTTAGTGCTGGGATTAAAAGCCACACTCCAAGTGCTGGGATCACCTTTGCGTGAGCTCTGTTTCTCTTTAAGACAAATTTAATCTTGTGTAGGCCAGGGTAGCCTTGAACTAACAGAGATCCATCTGCCTCTGTCTTCCAAGTGCTGGGATTAAAGGTGTGTGCCACCGCTGCCTGGCCTCTGTGGCTAACTAGTGTGACTAGCTCTGCACTCTGATCTTCAGGCAAACTGTATTTGTTAGATCATAAACAGACTATCACCACAACAGGCTACTGAGCTTTTGATAAATGAAGTTTGTGGAGCGTCAAGAAGGGGACACTGACCTCCCAAGAGACAAAGTGGTCACTAAAGGAAGACTCAAACACATAGCAGTGGAAATACCTGAGAAGCTAAGGTAGTTGTGAATGGTACATTGCGAGGCTGATAGGCAGAATGGGCCGTGAGCAAAGCCAGCTCTGAGACTCAGACTGAAAGAAGGGGGCAAGGGGGGACGTTAGGAATATCACAGGTGCTGGGTGCATCTTGTTGCCCATTCTCCTACTGATCTTTCCCTATGATGTAAAATGTCCAGGTGACCCAAGTCAAAAGAGACTAACATTGATGTTTACAACTCTGGGGATAAAAGGCCAGCAAGTCAGACATGAAAATTGATTGCCATCAGCACACAGAAGAATGAGAGCTACAGCCCCAGCGTAGATTCCTAGGACTGACACTGTAACGGAAGCAGTAGAGCACATAGAGTCCAGGGCGAGCATCGAAGCTACCTAGCATGGGGTTGGTTGGGATCCTAGAGGAAATAGTTGAAGATGTAACAAGATTGTCTGCAGATTCAAAGGACATGAGTATTTTAAAAAATAAAAATTATTTTTAAAAACCTACTTGAACATACCCTGTTCAAACTGCTGAAAATACAACCCAAGAGTCCATGGTGAAGGTAGCCGGAGACAGACAGCCACAGATAAGAAAAAAATCATACATTTCTCCAGAAACCATTTACAGAGGAAGACAATAAACTGTAACTTCAAAGAAAACCCTGTTAGCACAAACTTCTGTACCTGGTAGAAAACCGTTGAGAAGCAGGTTTCTCAAACAACTGAGAATTTGACAGCACACTTTTCTACCAGAAACGCCTAGGAATTTCTTATTTTTTAATGATTTGTTTTATGTGTGTGCACACGTGTGCACATGCATGCATTTGAGTGTGGATACTAACCCATGGAGGCTAGAGATGTTGGATCCTCTGGAGCTGGAGTGGTAGTAATTGTGGTCACCCACCATGGGTGCTGGGAATTGAATTCAAGTCCTCTGGAAAAGCAGTACTCACTCCTAACCACAGAGTCATCTCTCCAGCCCACAGAAGAAATACGATAAAACCTATCTACACTACGCTTAGAGTGAAAGATACTGTATGAGGAATAAAAGAAAAATGTTTTTATTTTTAATTTATTTGAAAACTGATTTTTAATAGTGTTCTGCATTTATGACATACAAGTAAAACATTGCAAGATGATGGGGAGTTTTTGGGAATGCACTGTTATCAGCCTTTGCCTTTGAAATAATGTAATACTTGGAGGTGAACCCTGAGCCCCATGTGAATTAGATGAAGGATGGTAAATGAGCAGGCATTGTGACGTAGTTAATCTACTGTTGACTTTACAGAGCTCAGGAAGAATCAGTTGTTTCTGATGAATCACTCAGCTCAGGGTGGTGTTGGGTGGGTAACACAGACTGTGTGCATACACTGGGCAGAGATGGCTTATAATATCCCATGTGGAGGGAAGCAGAGCCATGAGACCGCTCCACACTGTTTAGAATAGTGCACAGCTTAAAACAGGAATAGTTAACATCTGAATCTTTCCACCTTATCTTCTGTCTTTCTTTTTTTTCTTTCTTTCTTTTTCTTACAAGTGACTATGGGTAGCTAAAGCCATGGAGTTGGTAGTAGATCCTTGCCTAGGATGTGCAAAGCTCTGGGCTCAATCTCCTGTTCTCCAGAAAACTAAAAACTTAATACAGTGAAACCACAGGAAGCAAAACCAGCCACCAGTGATGGGGTACATACTGGGATTTGAAAGGGGAGAGCAGCTGACTACTAGCAGTAGCTGAGCAAATCTGTGCATGTGCCAAGATCCGTAAACATTAACCCCACTCCAGAACATAGAGAGAACCAAGGCTGTGTGTGGATAAATCTGCTAAGCATGGATGGCATAAACATACTCAGGGAGGTAGGTTAAGTAGCTTTAGAGAAGAAGAAAGATGTATTTTAGCTGGATGCCAATTATAGAATACTAGTGTGCATAAACACTGTATCCAGGTTGGTGTGTTCATCACTAGGAGAACTCTGAAGTTACTTTGTATGTATACTAAGTTTGAACAAGTGTGTACAAACATTGTAGATAATGATTGCAAGATTTCTTAGAATTGTAGAAGTTTCAAGTAATCAAAGGAGGAATTCTAGAGTAAATTGTCCTGGATTGGCAGCAGAACCATGTGGAAGAACTCAGCATTCAGCTGGATGAGTGGGCAAGATGGATAGTGGTTGATATATAGACTTGTATGTCAGTTTTGACCACTTAGAGAACTTAGACGCACAGACACACACCTAACACCAATATCTTGGTTTCTGGGTGGATTTTTTCCAACAAAAGGAAGCAAGGCCAGCGAGTAATGATATTCAAGAGACAAATAGACATCAGAAGGGCTACAAGTAGCTCAGACTGAAACAATTTGAGTAACTAAATTCATCGTGATGTTTTATAACCCACCAAATTGCTTTTTTGTTTGTTTTGTTTTGTTTTGTTTTGTTTTTGAGACAGGGTTTCTCTGTAGGTTTGGAGGCTGACCTGGAACTCCCTTTGAAGACCAGGCTGGCCTCAAACTCACAGAGATCCACCTGCCTCTGCCTCCTGAGTGCTGGGATGAAAGGCATTTTCCATCACTGCCCAGCTGAGGAGGGTTGGTTTCTTTCTTTTTTTCTGTTTCTTTTCTTCTTTTTTTTTTTGTTATAATCCACCAAACTAAATGAACCATGAGTGTATACTGAAAAATTACTAAAGGAGTAAGTGAAGACCAAGGGACCAAGTTACAGTAGAGTTAAGATGTGCCCACCAAACTCATTGAGATCCTGGACTAGATCCTGAAATAAAAGTTTGGATTAGTGATAACCCAGAAAAATCTCAAGCAAAGCCTTCATCCCAGTAAAGCATTTCTCTGCTGTGGGTTTCGTGGATTTGTCATGTCGCTGTGGGAACACTCGTGGGAGCTTCAGGGCTGGGTGTGGGGCTGCCCATACTTTTATATAGAGTTGAAATGATGCTGTCCAAGAAGTCATTTTTCCATAAAGCAGTGTTGAGATAGGCCTCTCTGGGTCAGCTGAAGATGCCCATCACTAAGAACAGCAGGAGCAAACCCCACTAATGTGTCAACAGTGTCACATAACTAGTCACTCCTGCCTGACCTCGGTGCCATTCTTGGTTCCGATAGCAGGGTTCCCTCTCTGCCCGTTTCCCGCCTTCTTTACTGTCTTGCTCTTATCCTCGGGAGGTTCAGCCTCTCTCGTGCTCAGGCCCAGAGATTTTTCTCTCCTCTCCACGCCTGTGCCACCAGCCACCAGCCACATTGAAATTTTTAAGTTCAGATTCAAAGCAACGCAGCATCATTTTATTATTCCTTGGTAGTAGTGGCCTCTTTCGAGCGCTCCTTGTGACGGTGGCTAGGATGCGGGACCACACAGAGAGCAATGGGTCAGTGCCGTCGAGACCCTGCATAGGCATCGCTGTATGCTTCACCTTGCAACATGTGAGACGTGTGTGACACCCAGTTATTCCGGTCTCCATGTGCACCGACCAACGCTGCAGGTGTTCAGTAGACAGGTGGTGTACAAGGGAGGGGGGTGACACGCAGCATTTAGGTGTCTTAGCCAGTTGCAATACGTAGTATGAGCTTGACATGGGGCATTGCCCGTCGGCCTTTCATCTGATGGTCGCTTTGCTGATCCTTGCCTGAGATGCACGGTTCGTTCATTTTTTAAGATGCTGGTGTGATGGTGCTGTGCAGCCCGCCTTGGTGCCTTGTTTTATTCACTGCCCTGATACTTCCCTGTCAGTGTGTTCAGACCCGAGCCCGAGGCTAATGGCCGCGTGACATTTTATAGCTGTGTATTTTGAGGTTACTATTGCCTTAATGCGTGCTCAATATCTTAACCGCCCGAGCTTTCGTCCTCTTTCAGATGAGCAGAAGGACCTTTCTCCCTCTCAGACACTGAACAATAAGAGCATGCTTGCTGGCTCTTGTGATGATCTGAGGCGAGAGCAGCACAGCTCATCCTACCAGCAGATGAACTGTATCGACAGTGTCATCAGGTAAGACATGCCGGTGAGCCTGCCTCACCACCGTGGAGCCCCACAGCATTGTCACAGGTGTTTGTGTTGGTTTCCTACTGTAAGCGTAGGACCGGTTGGCACATGTGGCGCTCTCACAGCTGCTGGGGGGGGGGGGTGGCGATGCTGAGTCCTTTGTTAGCCATGGAGTGCCTGTTATATACAGTTCACAACTCACTGAACTTCATGGAGGGCACAGAAAATAAGAAGCTGCATCATAGTAAACACATGTGGGGGCTAGAATTCAGTGGTGTGAGATGTGAAGACCAGTTAAGGAACACAGTGAAAGAGACACTACTGTAAGTCTCTGACCCAGGCTGCGATGGTCAGGGTTGACTTCATCCAAGGAGGAGGAGGGAGTCTCCCAGGCCTCAGTGGCATAGGCAGAGGAGGAAGCGGGAGTAGCTTGGTGGAGCCAGTACAAAGCAGTACAAAGCCCAGGTCTGTTGCTGCTGCAGGTACCTGGCGAGCTGCAGTCTTCCAGCCTTGAAAAGAAAGCACACATCCTGCACAAACACGTCTTCATCCTCAGAAGAAGCCAAGCAGAGCCACGGGGCGGACTGCAGCACGGCACTGCGAGGTAGCAGAGTCCTCAGAGTAGATGACGTCATTGCTGTCTGTCTGTATTTATTTATTTATTTTACATCACAACCAAAGTTCCCCTCCCTCCTCTCCTCCTGTTCTCTCCCCCATGCCCTCTCAATCCCCACCCCCCAATTCACTCCTCCATTTCTCTTCAGAAAAGGGCAGGCCTCCCATGGGTGTCAACCAAACGTGGCATATCAAAGTTGCAGTAAGACTAAGCACCTCCCCATGTATTGAGGCTGAGTAAGGCGACCCGGTGTAAAGAGCGGGGTCTCAAAATCCTGCAGAGTCAGAGGCAGCCCCTGCTCCCACTGTTAGGAGTCCCACAAGAGGACTGTAACAAATATACGGAGGGCCTTGGTCAGTGCTGTGCAGGCTCTCTGGTTGTTAGTTCAGTCTCTCTGAGCCTAAGTTAGTTGTTTCTGTGGGTTGTGGTTTGTGGGGTTTTTGTTTTTGTTTTGTGTGTGTGTGTGATGCCCTTGACCCCTTTGGCTCCTACAAACCTTCCTCCCTCTCTTCTGTAGGATTCCCGAACTCTGCCTAACGTTTGGCTGTGGGTTTGCATCTGTTTCCATCAGTTGCTAGATGAACCTCTCGGATGACAATTGGGCTAGGTACCTATCTATGAGTATAGCAGAATATTGTTAGGCATCATCACGTTGGCATTTTTTTTCTCTAGTCATGTTTGGTTCTACCTTAGATCCCTGGGTCATCTGGCCTGTGGGTCCTGGTGCTCCAGGCGGTGTCACGGGTGGACTTACTCTCCTGGCATGGGTTTTAGGCTAGAGCACTCATTGGTTGTCCACTCACTCAATCTGTAGACCACCCTCACCCCAGCACATCCCATAGTTGGGACAGACTTTAGGGCGAAGGTTATTTGTGTAGTTGGATTTTTCTTTGGCTGTCACTCACAAAAAACAACACAGAGATTTATTACTAATTATAAAAGCTCAGCCTATAGCTCATGCTTGTTTCTTACTAATTCTTATAATTTAACCGTATTTTTATCTACGTTCTTCCAGGCACTCGTTGCCTCATCTCTGTTTTGCCCACCCTGCTTCCTCCATGTGTAGCTGGCCATCCTGCCTTCTTCTCACGAGACCTCTCTGTCCAGAAGCCCCACTTATACCTCCTGCCTAGCAATTGGCTGTTTAGCTTTTTATTAAGCCAGTCACAGTGACACATCTTCACACAGTGTAAAGGAATATTCCATAACCTATGTGACTGGGTTACTGTCCCAGTCCCTCCACCTGAAGTCTCGCCTGGTCCCAGGAGATGGCCAGGTCAGTTCCCCTATAGCTAGGAGTCTTCATTGGGGTCATGCTTGCAGATTCCTGGGAGATTCCCTTGCACCTGGTTCTCTCCTGATGCCAAAATGCCCTCCCTTTCCAGTCGTCTCTTTTAGTACTCTCCCCTCCACCCCACCCCCAAGCCTGACGGTTCATGTTCTCATCCCTACCCACCCAGAGTCCACTCACGAAATCTTTTATATTTCCCCTTTCCAGGGAGATCTGGACATCCCCCCCCCTTGAACCCTCCATGTTACCATGTTACCCTAGTGTCTCTGGGTCTCTGGATTATAGCATGACTATCCTTTATTTTACAGATAATACCCACTTAGGAGTGAGTGCATACTATGTTTGTCTTTCTGGGTCTGGGTTTCCTCACTCAGGATGATTTTTTTCTAGTTTCATCCATTTCCATACATATTTCATGATGTCATTGTTTTTAACAGCTGAGTAATACTCCATTGTATAAAATGTACCACATTTTCTTTATCCGTTCTTTGGTGAGGAATATCTTGGTTGTTTCCAAGTTCTGGCTATTACCAATAAAGCTGCTATGTACATAGTTGAGTAAGTGTCCTTGTGGCATGATTGAGCATCCTTTGAGTATATGGACAAGAGTGGCATAGCTGGGTCTTTTCTTTTTTAAAGATGTATTTAGTTGTGTATTTTATGTATATAAGTCTTATTTACATGTATGTCTGCACACCAAAAGATGGCATCAGATTCCATTATAGATTGAACTCAGGACCTCTGGAAGAGTAGTCAGTGCCCTTGAACAATGAGCCATCTCTTCAGCTTCTAGCTAGGTCTCATGATAGATTGATTCCCAATTTCCTGAGAAACTGCCATATTGATTTCCAAAGTGGCTGTACAAGTTTGTAGTCCTACCAGAAATGGAGGAGTGCTCCCCTTACTCCACATCCTTGCCAGCATGAGCTGTCACTCTTGTTTTTTGATCTTAGCCATTCTGACAAGTGTAAGATAGAATCTCAGAGTCATTTTAATTTGCATTTCCCTGATTGCTAAGGATGTTGAACACTTCTGTAAGTGATTCTTGGTCATTTGAGATTCCTCTGTTGAGAATTTTGTGTAGATCTTTGCCCCATTTTCAATTGGATTATTTAGTTTTCTAATATTTAGTTTCTTGAGGTTTTTTATATATATTTTGGAAATCAGTCCTCTGTCAGATGTTGAAGATCTTTTCCCACCCTGTAGACTGCTATTTTGTCCTATTGATGGTGTCCTTTGCATTACAGAAGCTTTTCAGTTTCATGAGGTCCTATTTATTAATGCCTGTGCTATTGGTGTCCTGTTCAGGAATCTGTCTCCTGCACCCATGTGTTCAAGGCTAATTCCCACTTTCTCCTCTGTCAGGTTCAATGTATCTGGATTTATGTTGAAGTTTTTTATCTACTTGCACTTGAGTTTTGTGCAGGGTGATAGATATGGATCTATTTGCATTCTTCTACATGCACAATTTGTTGAAGGTTCTTTCTTTTTTCTATTGTATAATTTTGGCTTCTCCACTGAAAATCATGTATGTGGATTTACATCTGGGTCTTCAGTTTGATTCCAAATACCCAATACTGTAACACACACACACACACACACACACACACACACACACACACATAAAAAGATTCAGAGGCTGGTATTGAGGTTCAAGCCTCAAAATGAAGATCGGAAAAGCAAAGCACCCAGCCACTAGCTCTTACCTCTACTTCAGCTCAGACCAAAGGGGGGATTCTCAAACTGCTCCTCAGATTCACTCAGACTGCTATGTTCTCCTTAGTGTGGCTAAAGACTACTCTTAGAATACTGGCCTATCCTCAGTATGGTTGGAGAATGAATGCCAGCTACGAGACCCTGTCCCTCTCTTAAATACCTCCCTAATATTGGGATTAAAGGCATGTGATCCCAGGTGTTGAGGTTACCTTGGTGTAAGCTATTTCTTTTAGGAGTGGATCAATGTCCTGTAGTCATTGTGGCCTTGAACTAACAGAGATCCATCTACCTCTTAATCCTGAGTCCTGGGATTAAAGGTGTGTACCACCACTGCCTGATCTCTATAGCTTGAGACTGGCTGTTTTGCTTTCTGAATCCTCAGGCAAGCTTTAATAAGTCATAAATAATTGATGGGGGAAGTCCTTCTGTGTATATGTTGTCTTATTAGTTGATGAATAAAGCATTGTTGGCAAGATAGGTGTGACTAGGAGTCAAGGAGGATTCTGGGATATGTGCTCAAGAGTGGAGAGTCGCCATGTCATCCCAGGAAGATAGGACGCCTGAGGCTGGCGTCCTTGGTAAGATAAGACCTTATAAAAATGTATATTAGTAATTATGGGTTGATAATTAAGTCAGAGCTACCCATTAAGAAACCATAGCAAACAACCAACAGCTCATAATTAACATAGTGTCCTGTGTGTTCGCTTGGGACTGACGCGGCTCTGGGACCAGGCTGGCCAGATAGAATACACATTACAAATAATAAATAATATATCATCACATGCAGTTTTTATTACTATAGCTCTGTAGTACAAGGATGGTGATGCCTCCAGAACTTCCTTTATTGTACAGGATTATGTCAGCTATCCTATGTGAAGTTGAGTATTATTCTTTCAAGGTTTGTAAAGAATTGTATTGGGATTTTAATGGGGATTGCATTGAGTCTGAAAATTGCTTTTGGTAGGATGGCCATTTTGACCGTGTTAATCCTACCTATCCATGAGCATGGGAGATCTTTCTGTCTTCTGATATCTTCTCTAATCCCTTTCTTCAAAGACTTGAAGTTTTTGTCAAACGAGTCTTCCACTTGCTTGGTTAGAGTTACCCCAAGATATCTTACATTATTTGTGGTTATTATGAAGGGTGTTGGTTCCCTGATTTCTTTCTCAGCCCATTTATCATTTATGTATAGGAGGGTTACTGATTTTTTTTTAGTTAATCTTGTATCCTGCTACTTTGATAAAGATGTTCATTAGCTGTAGGAGTTCCCTGGTAAGAGTTTTTGGGGTCACTTGTGTACACTATCATACCATCTGCGAATAACGATACTTTGACTTCTTTCCGGGTTTTATCCCCTTAATCTCCTTCAGTTGTCTTGTTGCTATAGCTAAGACTTCAAGTACTATATTAAATGAGTATGAAGACTGTGGACAGCCTTGTCTTACTCCTGATTTTAGTGGAATTGCTTTGAATTTATCTCCATTTAATTTGATGTTGACAATTGGCTTGCTGTATACTTGCTGTATATGCTGTTTAGGTACATTCCTTTTATCCCTGATCTCTCCAAGATCTTTATCATGAAGGGTGTTGGATTTTGCCAAGGTTTTTTTTTTTCAGAATCTAATGAGATGATCGTATGTGTCGTGTTTTTTTTTTTTTCTTTCAGTTTGTTCATGTGGTGGATTACAGAATCACTTTACCTCTGTGTGACTAATGGCTTTAATTTGTCAGTTACTGACTTTTGTAAGCTTTTGTTTAGGATTTTTCACCAGCAGTTTCTCATACATCACCAGATACTGAACAGACCCTGAACACACCTAAACAGGAGACACCAGCAGCTGGACCGTCCACAGACGCCGAAGGAGGTGCTGCCTGGACCCTGTCCACCGCTGCACTGAGCATGGGCTCTGGCATAATCCAGTGCAGCTGCAGCAGCACCGCTGTCCATGCCCCGCCCCTACACTCAGGTACCACTTTGCCTTTTGATGAGGAAAGAAACCATCAATACCATCTGCTTAGTCATAACTTATGTCCTAGCCGTTACCCCTGTCTTTTATTCAGTAAACTGAATTAAGAAATGTCAGCATGTTTGCATGGGTGGTGTATTACAGGCTGTGTTTCTTAAGCATGCTGTGTGTTAATAGGATCAATTGATGCACAGGGAGCTCTTAGAGATGCTGGGAACAGTGGTGCTGAGATTTTCTGTGTTCGTCCTTATTAATGCAGTTCCCTGTGGACCTCATCGGGTCACGTTGTGGCTGATTTTTCTCCCAAGACACATATTTTATGTGTGTGGATGCTTTGCCTTCACATATATGTATGTACCATGTGTGTGCCTGGTGACCACAGGGGCCAGAAGAGGGTGCCACATTCCCTGAGACTGGAGTTAGAGGTGGTTGTGAGCTGCCGTGTGGGTGCTGGGGGCCAAACCTTGGTCAGTGTTCTTAACTTCTGAGCTAACGCTCTAGCCCCTTTCACTGATCTTTTAGAAAAGTGTCTTTCATATGTAGAATGCATACTGGCAGCAGGATGCATCCAGACACCAAATTCTCAGCACAAAGGGGGCTTATTGCTCCAGAGAGACACAGGGCAGGGCATGTGAGACAAAGACAGGAGCTAGAGAATGAGGGAAAGGAGAAAGGGGGCAAGGGAGGGGTGGAGATGCTTGCCCAGCAGGGACAAAAGACTGCCTGAGGTTAGAGAGGAGACAGACATGTGCCATAGACAAATGGAGGTTTATAAAGGGAAAGGGGGAAACCCTGTGTATGAAGAGGTGGTTAATTTTGATTGGGCATGCTAATTAAGGTAGTCAAAGGGGGGATTTTGATTGCTGGACTTCAATACTTTGATAGCTAAACCTTGGTAGTCAGCCTCAGGAGGAGGAAGTGGCCAAATGAGGGACTCGACCTTGGTGGCAGCTTTAGCAATGTCATTTGTTTTTAGCAAGGGGGAGGAGGGTAAAGGCAAAACCTGTGGGAACCCTGTTGGCCATGCTTGGGCCTGCTACAGTCCTTAAAGTAGTCCTTACAATGTACTCACTCAATTAATTATTCTTATCTTGGTCTTTTTATTCTTTTTCATTGCCTCCTGTCCTTTGACTTTCTGGTTTTTCATAGTGACTTAATAGGCAAAGTGGTGACAGATGTCTTTAAGTCGGGTTTTGGGGCGGTCTCTAATCAACCTATGCTATCGGATATTGTGTTTGAGTGGTTGCCGTGATAACTCTCTGCCATTCTTCTTGGAGCTGTATTGATTACTTTTCTCATCTTGGTGACAGAATTCCCCACTGCCGCACCTTGGGGACGTGGTGTACTTTGGGCTCATGATTAGAGGTACAGCCCAGCTGCCTCACAGTACCTCTGCCTTGTCTCCCCACTGTGATGGGCTGTTCCTACAAAAACAGCAAGCACCTCCCCAAAAAGTTCCCCTCTCCCTGCACCCCAAAAATGCCCAAGCAGGGTGCATTTGCTCCTGTCCTGAAGGCCTAGCTCAGTTCTGGTAGAACTGTCTCTGGCTCACCAGAACATAGAGAAAGTAGAAGGGCAGAGAAAAAGGATGGTTTTCTGTGGGAGGATGAAAAATAACTAGATAGATAGTGAAAGGGACAGGAAGAATTTACCAAATTGATATTTAAAACTTGGTGTTTGAATCACGTTAGCTATTTAAATAACCAATTGAGCCAGGAAGGTGGCGCTTGCCTTTAGTTCCAGCACTTGGGAAGCAGAGGTAGGCGATTCACTTTGAGTTTGAGGACTGCCTGGTCTGTATAGCAAGTTCCAGGACAGTCAGAGCTACATAGAGAGACTTTGTCTCAAAGAAACAAGTAGAAAAGAATTCAAAGGCTAAATGTGATGGCACACACTTGTAATCCCAGTGCTCAGGAAACTGACACAGGAGGTCACAAACTCAAGACAGGTAGGTTACACAATAAGTTCCAAGCTCTGTTTCTAAGTTAATAATTTTGAACAAAAATCTAAAAATGTAAGGGCATGGAAAATGTTTATAATAGCAAGGTCTAAATAAATGTGTGTATATTATTGTAATCATAAAGTACATATACATGAAAAGCATAAAGAAAAGAAGAATTTTTGTACTGTACTGATGAAGTTTTTATATTCCAACAATTATGTTTATAAAAATTTATTGAAAGGCAGTTACAAAATAAAAAATAAATAGTTGCTATTAATTACTAAATCTGTTTCCTCTGATCTCAGCAGAGGGTGCTGCAGAGTTAGTGTGCAAGCCCTGGCCGCCGAGAACACAGACGTCTCCCCTGACTGGGGAAGAATTTAGGCACGTGGGGCTCACAGCAGCTGTCCTCTCCGCACACACGCAGAAGGAAGAACAGAACTATGTTGACAGGTTCCGGGAAAGGATCCTGACCTCACCCTACAGTTGTTATCTTCAGCAAGAGAGCAGAAACAGTGCCAAGTACTCCTCTGGTCAAGGTAGCCATGTTTTAGAACACATCCCTTTCACCTTTGAACTATTATAAATCATACACAGGTTGGACTGTCCTTTGTCAGTGTGAGACGGCCTCCAGGAAGGACCGCCTGGCACTGACGCCCAAAGGCCTTCATATGGAAAGGCGCAGTATCCACGCCCTCCATGTCCTTCAGCGTTTACCACTTAATGCAGTGCACACTACTGTAATTGGAGCAGTAATGGGAAGTCTGCACCTGCTCGTCTCTTTAGGAATGTTTTCAGTCTGTAGTTGGTGGGAGCTGCAGGTGTGGCACCTGTGGCTGTCAGGGCCAGCTGTACCAAGGAGGAGAGTGAACAGCTGGGTTGGTCCCGAAAGACGCTGAGATACTGCAGCCACTTAGTTCACAGCTTACCTGGGACCTGATTAGAGTCTGGGTCTGAGAACACTTTTCATAGGAAGCCTGTTAAGGTGCTGGACTTGATTTATTTTAGTGCACTAAGTTTTATCTAAAATTTTTGTTGAGCTAGAACAACTTTTTGCTATTTTTAAAACAGTTGCTACAGGCAAATATTCAGTTCTTTAGAAACTATCTAAAATCACCCATCCTGACTTTCTCTGGGTCGTTACTGTTCTGTAACAAGCCTTCCTCTTTATTGCTTCATCAGGCTCTCCTCCTAAGCAGGGCAGATGTGCTGGAAGTCAGAGACGCAGACACAAACGGAAGAGGCTGCCGGTGCCTTTGGACACCAGCAGCTCCAGTGCTGCCGTCTGTTCCCACGTCAGAGGCCTCCTTCCCGACACACAGCCCCCGAGCCCCTCTGTTGTCTGCTCTCCCCACGCCACAAGCCTAGCTTTCCCGTCAGCCCTGGGAGCTCCCAGCCAGGCCCCTTATCTTCTCTCCGCTTTGCCCTTCCCAGATGTGGCCTCTCTCGGAGTAGGGGGCTCTGCAGGCTGGGGAGCGGCTGCTGGCCCTCAGTCTGTTCCAGCTTTCCCTTCTGCCTACTCTGACACGTTCATGACCATCTTCCTGCACCACGCCCCCATCCTTCCTCTGTGGTCAGCGTCATTCCCCCCACATCCATACCTGGGGGCCGCAACTTCTTGTGAAATGACACCCTTAGCACCAGCAATGGCTCCACACCTGGAGCCAGCTTCTTCAGACCACAGCCAAAGGAGAGCGGAGGAGAGCTGGGAGACACACGGCGCCGAGCATCCGTTTATCAGCTCCAGGAGCAGCTCGCCACTCCAGTTAGATTTGCTCCAGGAGGAGATGCCTGCGCCGTCTGAATCTCCAGACCCAGGGAGAAGAGGCCCAGAGGTTGAGTGTGTAAGTGGTGCTGTCAGTACCCAGTGAGTCGAACGTCTGGAGCCTCTTAGCAAGTCAGAGGCTCAGCTCTGACAGCCTAGTCACTAGTGGGTGACCCACCTCAGCCGTGGTTAGACTAGGCCCTGCTGTGTGTGAGCGCGAGTGTGTCCCTGTTCACCTGTGGGACAGAAATGAGAGCCTTCTGTTCTTGATGCTTGGGGAAGGATTTCACAAATTCTGTCTTTCAGAATTTTTATGTGTACTAGGTTTCCTCTACCTTTTAAATTTTGCTATCTAGGTATTAAACTTAAATGTGTTCATTCCTTATAAGCCGTATGACAGGATATGAATTTAGAATTCATACTTTCAATTATTTTATTTTACTTACTTATTTTTGGTTTTTCAAGACAGGGTTTCTCTGTGTAGCTTTGGAGGCTGTCCTGAAACTCACTTTGTAGACCAGGCTGGCCTCAAACTCACAGAGATCTGCCTGTCTCTGCCTCTCGAGTATTGGAATTAAAGGCGTGTGACACCACTGCCCACCTCTTACTTTAAATTTTTTTCTACTTAAAATAAATATGCCATTCTCCCCTTCCCTTTTCTTCCCTTCAGGTCCTCCCGTGTATCCCCCCTTGTTCTCCTCAAAGTTATGGCCTTTTGTTGTTGTTGTTAATAGGGTTGAATGTGTGCAGCCCTAAATATACAAATACAAAATATATGTATTCTTAAATGTATGAAAACTGTATATATGCATATTCCTAAATATGTAAATTCAGTATGCTCTGTCTATGTACTGTTACTTTTATGTATATGATTTCAGGGCTTACTACTTGGTATTAAGTAACAAATTGGAAGACTCTTCCTGAGGAAGACTATTTTCTCCCATTCTTGGCATCGCTAGTTCCTTATAGTTCTTTGTCTAGGGTTGGAACCCTGTGATTTTTTTTTCTCCTTCCATGTTGACATGTCTGTTGGTATTGTTCTGGTTCATGTCTGGTTTAGGCAGCCGTATTATGAGACTTTATGGGTGTAGTTTCTGTGACATTTTTTAGGAGGTACAGTCTCACAGCAGACATCCTGTTCCTGTGGCTCTTAAATAGTGATGCCTCCTCTTTTGAGATGTAGAATTCATGCTTTTCTGTATACACACAGAGTAGGAGGGTGTGGATGAGGTAGGAGCCCCTGCTTGGCATCGTCAGAAAGTAGGCACTTATCCTGCTTACACGTGTCATTTCCAAAATTGAAAAATTTAAGTAAATTTCCTTTAACTTTACAAACTCTGCTTGAAAAAGCATTCCCGTATTTATTTATCAGTTTAATCTTCAGAGTCTATCGTTCCTACATCTAGGTGTAGACTCAGAGGTGAGTGTTTTATCTTATGCATATGAGTATTCTGCCAGCATGAATGCTGTAGGCACCAGGTGCATGCAGTGCCCTCAGAAGCCAGAAGAGGGGGCTGGTTCCCCTGGAGCTGGAGTCACAGACGGTTGTGAGCTGCCGTGTGGACACTGGGAACTGAACCCAGGTCCTCTGTAAGAGCAGCAAGGGCTCTTACCTGACAAGTCATCTCCCCAGTCCTCTCTGCCACAGTGTGCACATGAAGGTCAAGGACAACTCTGGGGCGTTGGTGCTCTCCTTCCTCCAGGTCATGGGGCTGGACAGTGGTGTGCCTTCACCCACTGAGCTATCTAGTCAAGCAAACAAAATAATAATGAAGACTTTATCACCAGAGCTCTGTCACTAGTTACATGGGCTAGCCTCAGTGGGGCATTTAACTTGACTCATGTGTTATGAGAGAGCGGGGTAGATGGCTGCCGTGTAGCTTTAACTGCGTTTGGATGACACAGTGTCTACACAGTGCCTCTCCCTCTGCATTTTTCTTTTCAGAAGTCAGGGACTTTGTTTCATCTGCTGTTGTGTTCCTAGAGTTTGACACACTGTGCTTAGAAATGTAAAGTGTTCAGACATGCTTGCCAGACAACAGAAGTAAATGCAAGCCCACACTTGGAGTAGTGTTCAGGATGCAGTAGCACCAAAGAAATTTTAATCACGTTCTTGAAGTCAGACTTGAGCGCCTCGTTCTATTCAGTGTGTAAAGCTGGAGATCTGCCTGCTAACTCACTCTTGTGTCCTCCTTTCCAGCACTGTGTCACAGGGAACAGTAGGAGCAGTCACTGTGCCACCGGCGAGCTGGCCACAGCCTCAGTGCACCAGGAGTCTCTGTCTGCAGCTGCCTCAGGTAGTTGACCTGGGAAATCAGCTTTTCACACATTACCAGGTCACTTTGCCCAAGGTTTTCTAGCTTGGACACCAATGAATAAAGAAAGTTTGGGGGTTTCCCCCTTCCTTTTTGTAGGCTTTCTTGGGGGGCATGCTTATATTTGACAAAACTGACATTGGTATAACTGTTACAATCACCACTCAGGATATTTCTGTTGCTCTAGAAAGTTCTTCTGCAGCCGTTTACAGTCTGTGTTGGTGACTTTTGTCATTGCTGTGACAGAATGTCTCACTAAGTCAACTTAGATGAGAAAGGATTTGTTTTGGCTCACGGTTCAGAGGGTCCAGTCCATTGAGGGTGTTTTATATTCAGACTGACAGTCGACCGCTGCCTGGTCCTCGGTCCTGGCATGCTGATGGTGTGCTTCCTGCCACTTCAGTTCCTTAGTTTTTTCACTGACTAAGACAGCGTGAAGGCTTTTTGTGTTGAGTCTCGGAATAATGCTGTTGAGACTCATCCTTACTGTATGTACTAATAGTCAGTTCCTTCCCGTTGCTCAAGGGGATTATGTTGTGTGGATGGTTGTTGGGCTGTTTCTGGTCTGGGTTAATGTCTTTAGAAACTGCCTCTGCTGGATGGGCAGGCGGTTGTTAGGGTTTGAGCTCTTCGGCAAATGAACTTCTGACAGGTGTTTTCCGCTTTGTTGATCATTGGCAGGAAGCAGTGCCGGAAGTGCGTACTTCAGTAGCAGCGACCATTCCGATCTCTCTGAAAACGGACAGGAGTCCCATGGTAGACAGAGAGATGAAGCCTTTCCCGGGGTGCTTGAGGAGCCCGTCTGGAGAATGATAGAACAGACCCCTGAGTGTGTCCCCGTGACATACGAGGTGCCCAAGAGGTACGACAGCACTTCTGGAAACCCAGCTGTGTGTTTGGGGGATTTATTTCCGTAATTCAAAACACTTTATATTGCGGTTCTGTTTATTCTGTTGTGTGTAGGCGCTCACGTGAATGTGCCATAGGCACATGTGGAGCCCTGACCTCTGCCTACAGTGCGTGGGGGGGTGCGCGTGTTTCTAATATGATTTTTCAATATAAGGTGATTTTTAAATGTTTTGTATACAGTCTACAAAAATGTGCTTACAAATGTACTCACTTAAGTTCAAGCAGCAAGTGATTGTTGAGGGAAGGGTTGCAGTTGCACATGTGCAGGTCCTTACAGAGAGAACGGACTGTTGACCAAACCACAGGAGACAGGAGCACATGGGCTGGGCTTCCGGGCACACGCGGTTGTTTCCCACCAGAAGCAGAGATGTGCTGTGTCGGTGTGGCAGGTCATTCAGTTATGTCACGGGTCAGCAGGTCCGCGCACGCGTCGACCTGGGAGGGAAGGCTGCTCTGGCTCAGAGGCCTCTGCTGTGTTTAGGGGGAGGGAAGCCGTGCTGGGAGAAGCCCTGGAGAAGCTCAGCAGCATGGGGCAGCGGCTCCCCAGTTCTCCCTGCGCAGGAGGAGGAGCTGGCCAAGGTGCCCTCCTGGGTCCACAGCCAGACTGCCCCTCAGGGAAGACACCTCCAGGTAAGCACGCGTCCCTCAGATAGCGCTCTCCATGTTCATAGTCGCCTTTGTGTCGTAACTGCAGGCCATGCACAGCGTGGACTAGGTTCTGTGTACAGGTCTTTTTAACACTGTTGGCGAAATTACGTAGAGAGGCGCAAACAAACGTCTAGTCACCCCAGGCAGAGCACAACACAGACCGTTGTGCTGGTAAAGGCTGACCTGGAGACCGATGAGTTGACTGAGCTTACACACAGAACATGGGTGACCCCCAAACAGCCCCTCACCAGAAGCATCCCATCCCAGTGTGAGTGATAACGTCGTAGCACGGTTCTACAGTGGACTCCTCCACCCCCTTCAGCAGCCCCCACCCACCCGTTAGTGCCTTCTGCACTCTGTAGACTCTCGTCGCCTCCTTAGAGCACGTGACACCTAGGTGGCATTACGTAGAACTGGGAGGAAAGAGACTGGTCTCAAGTGAGGGTCCCGGGACTCTCCCTACCCTTCCTCTGTGAGGGAGAGTCAGCAGGCCCCATCTCAAAGAGGCTGTCACTCTCTCGTGAGTAGTCAGTTATTTCCTTATGCTTGTCAGACAGCATGCCACACCATGATGAAATGGTTCTCTTCCACCGGCTGGAATGTTAGGTGGTAAGGACACTACCCTGGAGTATGAGCAGCCGAGAGAGCTATCAGCGGTCCAAGGTTCACACATACATCCCTGTTTGAAAGTTTAAATTCCAAGTATAAGAAAGGCCCACACTGCAGGGAGTTATCTCATCCTGCAGGAACTCTGCTCCTCTGAAGCTCCATAACCATTTTCTTTCCTTCGTTGGTGCCCTGAGAGCCCCACAGCACAAACTCCAGTCATTTTCATGCATTAATCTCTTAAATTATATGACAGCTGGCAAGCCAGGGTTGCAATATCACGTCTTTGAGTTACTATCCTGAGCCAGGAGCAGGGTTTCCTTTGCCAGCTCCTTTCTGTGTGATTTTCACTCATTTTACGTGTGGGGTGTTTTGTCTGCGTATGTCTGTGCGCTCGCATGCATGCCTGGTTCCCTCAGAGGGCAGTCGAGGGCACCGGATCCTCTAGAACTGAAGTTAGGGGTGGTTGTGAGCTGACCTGTGTGCTGGGAGTCTCTCCTCTGCTGCAGCAGCCAGCGCTCTTAACCACTGAGCCATCTCTCCTGCCCCAACCCCTTCAGCATTTCTTACACTACAGCATGGTGAGATCAAGTCCCCTTCCCCGGCCTTCGTTGTTTTGGACTGTCTTTATAAGGAGTTTTGCCAGATAAAGGATTCTTAGTTGAACATTTTTCTTAAACACTTTGGCTAAATCAGCTTACTGCCATCTGGCATCCAAGGTTTCTGCCGAGGCACCTGCTTGCTGATAATCTTGCTAAGAGCCCTCTCCTGCTTCAGTCCCGCTGTTTGGTTATAATGTGTCTGGGCGTGTGCCTCTGAGCTGGTGCCACTTGGAGGCCGTTGAGCTTTTTGGATGCTGTATTTGTGTCTTCACAAAATTTGGAAGATTTCAAAAGCCTTTGTTTTCCAGTACTTCCTTTTCCTTCCTTCCCTGCCCCTGGTTCCTCTGATGGCTGCACAGTCCTCTTGGACCACATAAACTGAGTGCTGCTCGCTCATCTGTCTTTCCTTCCTGACAACAACATTATCTTCAAGATCTCAGTTCTCACTTCCCCCAAGTTCCCCTTTGGATTCCTCCAGTGAGTTTGTTGTTGTTTGTTTTTATCAGTTTTGTCTTTCTCAAGTACAGGGTTTCTTGTTGGTTTCCTTGTAGGTGTCCTCTTACTTCATTGGTTCATCTGTTTCTTCGTCTGTCTTCTGTTTTAGTTAGTTTTCTGTTGTTGTGATAGAAACACCATAAGCAAAAACAGCTCGGGGAGGAGAGGATCTGCTTCACTCACAGACTATAGTCTACAGGGGAAGTCAGGGCAAGAACTCAAGGCAGGAGCTAATGTAGGCCCACTGCTGCTTACTGGGCTGCTCCACGTGGCTGGCTCAGTCTGCTTCCTTACAGCACCCACGACCTCCTGCCCAGGGGCGGCACCGCCCACTGTGAGCTGTGCCCCTCTGTCAGGCATTAGCCAAGAAAGAGCCCACAGACTTGCCTGTCTCTCCCTTCCCAGGTAGGTCTAGGCTTGTGTCAGGTTGGCAAAAGCCAACCAGTGCACCATCTTTAGACGACATTACATCACGTAACACCCTTGCCTTTGTTCTCTCTTGGAGAACTGTGTCGCCTGTGAAGACAGAGGTCCAGTTGGCAGCACTGCAGAGGCCTCTGAGGAGCACGCAGGAGAAGACGTCAGAACTGTGACGATGTCTGTCCACACCTTTTCCAGGTCATGTAGGACACAGAGATGTCTGTGTTGCTTCACTGAACTCTAACTCTTAAATGGCAAAGTTATCAACATTAAGCTTTTCCCTTGCTTTTGTTTTGTTTTGTTTTGTTTTTGGTAGCACCGGATCAAACCCAGGGCCTTGTGCACCCTAGTCTGGCGTTCTCTCTCTAGCTGACCTGCACCCCCGCTCTCCTGTCTCGGTCTTTAGTAGCTGACATTCCCCAAAGCAGGTGTTTGCATGGGCTCTAGTCCTGATGTTAAAATGCCCATTGAGAAGCCTTTTCTAACTTAGCTGTCTCTGACAGCACCAGATTGCCTCTGAAGAGGTGTGTGTCTGTAAAACTTGATTTCGGAAGTCACTCTGAATAGGTTACAGTTAGAGTGAATCCCAAGCCTTAGTCTCGTTTGTTTTGTTCCATTGCTGCAGAATCATTTTCCCTTTAGAATACTTGAATTCTGTCTACAGGTTGTGTAGTTCACACAATGTTTTCCATGAATTTGACACATTGATCCAGGCTTGTACAGCATGGTGCTTCCCTTCCTAAATATGATAGGACATTCCACCTTTCTCACAAGATATTAGAGTGCATTGTTCTCTAGGAAATGTGGGAGTCATGGGTTTGGCTGTTTGTCTGGTTCCTGTCCGCACACTTCCTGTTGATGTTGGTCCTCACAGAAACTCCTTCCGTAAGATCTGTCTGCTTGAACAGGGCTTACTCTGGAGAATTGAAGTTAAGCCATGCATGTTAAAAGAGTCACTTACTCGGCCAATAGTATTTTTTAAAGTCTTTCTTTGTTATGAAATAAATGTGAAAAGGTTTTAAAATGATGTCATTGTTATTCTGGAGATGTATGTGCTTATGTGCTCAGTCTAACATTTGACAACACCGGGGTCTCCATGCCAACCAGAGCCTGATTGACATGCCTTCCATTTGCCTTTGACAGGGTAAGTGTTGGGGGCCTGCAGAGTGAGAAGCCACACTTAGGGGAGCTCAGTGACCCCAGCCTTTGGGAAGTGAGTGTGACTGTTAACCTGTGTCCACTCACTGTCCGGTCAGTGACACCCAAGATCCCTTCTTGAATCTCAGATGACTGTGGAGCCCACCCTGTGCAGCTCAGAGGCCGGGACTGGCAGGAAGAGAAGTCTGCAGTAGCCTTTCCTGCACAGCGCTCCCAGCAGTCTAACACGGGTTTCTTTTCTGTTGCTTTGGTTTTTTTAGGAAAACACTTTTCCCCTGACACTTTATAGCTGTCGTTCTGGTCAGGAGAAGGTCATGATGACTGTTGGCCCAGTGCTCCAACTCTGTGGCTTAGACTTCTTTTCTAAAATAATGGTTTTTCTGGATGGCAGTCCTGTTGGAAGCTGTCAAAAGCATTCTCAAGTGCTGCCTATGACATTCTTAGAATTTTCTGGTATTACACAGTTTCACACAAATGTTCCTGCTCTGTGAATAGAGACTTCTGTTCCTTCCTGGTAGTTAAATGATGTCACGGGGAGGCCTGCGCTGGTCCGGCTGGCCTTCTCCAGTGATCAGGGACCATCCTGCATCTGTGCACGTACACCAGACCTGATGTTCTCTGGGAAGGTGGCCCCTTCCTGCCTGTCCTGGGCACTTGTTTATCTATAGTCCTGGTTTCTTTGCCTTAGTCACATCTAGTGGAGTATGTATGTATCGTCCAGGCTTGACCTGAAACTGGTGCTTGTAGTCAGGCCTACACAGCCCTTTAACCCAGTCTCCCTTCTTCTAGGGATGCCGGCAGTGCACTCCAGCAGAGCCAGCTGCTCCCTCCCCCTCCCCTCTGTGGGGGCCACACCCTGTGGAGACTCTGTTGTTCAAACTTACTAACTTTTTCTATTGGTAACTATTGAATTGGTAACAAAACTATGGATTGTAGACTTCAGTGTTTACATGACCCTTTCCCCCAAAGCTTTATTTTCTTGGGTCACATGTCAGAGTTTAAGATGTCGTGTGAATGGATTAAATGAAACATCATTATAATTTACAAGGTGGTAAATTTTAATCAAATTGGCAAAGTGTTTATAATTGTGAATTTGCTTGTACTTAATGGTTATTAATCTTTTCATTGCATATCTTTTTTGGGCAAAAACAATAAAGAGTGTATGTGTGAAAGTGGGGAATGTACTTGATTGTGTAAGCACTCCTTGAGCATGCGTGGAGTCAGCCCCAGCTGCTTCCTGCAGTCCCCTGGATGTCCCCATGTGAGCGCAGCAGCACCATTCTCAGAACAGGTGTTTGCTGTATAAATTTATCTCCATTCCCACTCTAAAAGAAAGAGGCATTTTCCAATGTATTTAGTTCACATTTCAGCCATGAGAAAAATTCACTGGGCCCCAGATGTTTATGTGTGTGTACACGTGTATAATGCTAGCAAGCCAATTCAGTAAAATTACCAAAATTACTCCTGAAGCATCTGTAGGGTGAGCTTGTATTTTACAGTCTGATTCTTATGTAAAGCAGCCAAATTTACACATCAAAATATGGACCCCGGAGCCAGCGAGGCCTTAAGTCTCACACCTTCCCAGTTATTTGTTCCTTCCTCTGATGACAACAGCCAGACAAACAGCCAGTGCTTACAGTGTCTGCCTCTGAGCCGCCTGTTACGTGCTCTGTAGCATCCCCTCCTCATGGCAGCCCACAGTGGCTGTCATTGTCACTGAGCCTAGGGATCTATCCTGAGAGCCACCCCAGGTCACTACACCCATGGGTGGTTTTAGATTATACTAATACACTAGAATGCATTTAGGCTTTTTGAGGTTACCAAAAGGGAGCTAGAGCTAGTTTGATTTTTGTTTGTTTGTTTGTTTGTTTAGTTGGTTGGTTGGTTGGTTGGTTTGGTTATTCAAGACAGGGTTTTTCTGTGTGGTTTTGGAGCCTCTCCTGGCACTTGCTCTGTATGTCAGGATGGCCTTGAACTCACAGAGATCCGCCTGCCTCTGCCTCCCGAGTGCTGGGATTAAAGGCGTGCGCCACCACCGCCTGGTGCCAGTTTGATTCCTGCACTGAAGATGTGTAATTCTCATAACCAGACTTGATGTTGGGGTGCTTGAGTTCACATGCCTGCTTCCCTTCTGGCTGTCATTGATGTCTACATTAGGAAAGCTCTGTCAGAGCTGTGTTTGAAGGCATTGGTGATGTCTGCTGAGAAAGGTAAGGGTCACATAGTATCCCGTGGTTGGTATGGGTCTATCGCTCAACTACAGGTTTCAGTGGATTGGCTGGTCTCATGCTGGGAAGTTTGCTTCCTCAAGAAACTTAGTGTTCCCAACCTGTGGTTCTGTGGGCAGAGTCACAGGGCCTGTGGCACCCAGACAAGGTGTCTGATCATCCACAGACTGTCATGATTGTACATGGGATGCTAGTGTGTCTACACATATGTGGATTTTTGTTTTTTGTTTTTTTGTTTTTTGTTTTTCAAGACAGGGTTTCTCTGTGACTTTGGAGCCTGTCCTGGAACTCTCTCTGTAGACCAGGCTGGTCTTGAACTCACAGAGATCCGCCTGCCTCTGCCTCCCAAGTGTTGGGATTAAAGGCGTGTGCCGCCACCACCTGGCCATATATGTGGGTCTTAAAGATGAATAACCTGCCAGTTCCATTGCACAGCCCGAATCCCTGCACCAGCTCTAAGAACACAGAGTGTTTTGCCTTTAGTAGCTGAAGGGAAGTGCGTTTCCATTACTTAGTATGAGTAAGTCATAGCCTTAACTCAGAGCGGCTGGGAGCAGGGTAGTTTTCAAGTGTTTAATACTGTGACCTACTAAGAGCAAGAATCAGCACACAGACTCCCCACAGGAGACATTCAGACCATCCCCCCCCTCGCTGCCAGGCACCTTTGGGTTAGAGCTTTTCAAGCTAAGGTCCTCCTTCCTGGGAAGGAGTAACTTGGCAGAGTGCTTGCCTCCTGAATGCCTGCCAAGTTCTGGACCCCATCCTCAGTTCTGCAGAAAGTAGGGTGCTTGCACTCATAGTATTCAGGACACGGGGGCAGGAGAATCAGGAGTTCAAGGTCATTGCTGGCTACATTCTGAGTTCAGGGCCAGCCTGGGATACGAGACCCTGTCTCCCCTGCCCCCAAACAAACAAAATTTATATATTCATTTTTAAGGGTTGAGAAGATGTCATAACAAATAACTTATTTTTAAACCATATGTGACTTGAGAGGCTTGGATAACTCTGTCTCTGTGCCTTTCTCTCGTTCCTCTGTGCTGTGTGCTTCTGCTCATTTATGGCTTGGCTTAGACATTTTGTAATGCCTAGCATGGAACAGAGAGCTCACATGGCCAGGCAAGGTCTCTGCTACTGAGCTAACCCTCCAGCCCGACCTGTAGATTTACAGGAAATGCTAAAGATAATGGGGGGAGAGACAGGTCAAAGATTTCAGGATGTAAATATAAGTAAACTTGACCACATGTGATACTTGCCAAACATAGAGAATTTATTTCTCATAGTAGTGAAGGGTGGGGTGTAGTTAGCCTGATTTTTCTTCAGGAATCTTCCTTTTTAGTTTTCTAAAGTGGTGGTTCTGAGGAGACGCATCGATGCTCTTATCTTTTCAAATGCAGTATTTCCAGAAGCATTCCGAGACAGTCCCATGTTGCTTATGTTGTTTCCTGGTTCTTGCCAGAAGACGACTCAGCACGGTGTTGGAGTGTTGTTCAGAGAAAGCCTGAGCCCGGAAGTCCTGAACAATAGATAAATAATCCTGAGTTCAGAGTCCTCCCCTAGCTGGGCGTTGGTGGTGCACGCCTTTAATCCCAGCACTCGGGAGGCAGAGGCAGGTGGATCTTTGTGAGTTCAGGCCAGCCTGGTCTACAGAGCTACACAGAGAAACCCTATCTCGGAAAAAAAAAAAAAACAAGCAGAGTCCTCTCTGGAGTTCCTTGGCTCTCCCAGTTCCTCATCCAGTCTGCTGAACCCTGTGGTTGAGTTACCTGTCCCCTGGGTGACCGTTCTGTGTAGGGCTGCTGTCAGTGATAGGGTCTGGACACTTAACCTGTGTATGACACAGACCTTCCCTGTTAAAATTGGCTTGTCTTAAAGGTTGAGCCATAGTTTTCCTTTTATTCTGGAATAAAATGGGCACGCCCTACATATATGGTTTGAGGCCTTAGAGACAATCCTTATACTGGATAGTTCATGTCAGCTTGACACATGCTAAAGCCATCAGTTAGGAGGGAGTCTCAGCTGAGAAACTGTCTACATAAGATCTGGCTGTAGGCAGACCATAGAGCATCTTCTTAATTAGAAATTGATGGGGGAGGGCCCCCGCCCATGTTGGGTGGTACCATCCTTGGGGTGGTGGTCCTTGGTTCTGCAAGAAAACGGGCTGAGCAAACCACGAGGAGCAAGCCAGTAAGCAGCTCCCCTCCATGCCCTCAGCATCAGCTCCTGCCTCCAGGTTCCTGCCCTGTGTGAGTTTCTGCCCCGACTTCCGTCAGGGACGACCGTGATGCGGAAGTGTGAGCAGAGTAAACCCGTCCCTCCCCTCGTTGCTTTGGTGACTCTAACCAGACTGCCCTTGGGTTTAGAAGCAGGTAACCATCTGAGTGATGGCTTCGCCAGCTGCACACAGAAGCCACGATAGTCCCCTAGGGCCTTCAGGTGGTGGTCAGTGTCTCTGGGCCAGGTCCATGAATGTTGATCTCACGATTTCTCAGGAGACATTTACATAGTCATGAACCCTGACTCAGGACAGAAGGTAAGGCTAGCGGGGACCCCTCAGAAACCATACAGTGGTCCCCACTAACTTCACACCACTTGTGTGTATCCTGTCACTCACCCCGTGCCCCAGCCTCTGCACCACTTTTCACCGGGGAGGGGAGCGCATCACCCCCCACTCCCTCCCCATGGTGCCTTGTGGTGTCCCACGCTGACAAGAGTATCAGTCCCACGCAGATCTGCAGGACTGCAAGTTTGTGCGTTTCTCACCGACTTCCTAGTGACGGTGCTGCTGAGGGGGCCACACGGCAGGGCAGTGGGTGACGAGCACAGAGCCTGCTGCTCACTGTGATTCGCCCAGCACAGGTGCATGCCTGCCTGCTACGTTCCTGTTACAGTTGTGTTCTATGAATCCGTTTAGGAAAACTGAGTTTAAGAAGAACACTGGCCAGTTACTTTAGGATGTGATTTCCACCAAGAACGCTCTTGGGTCATGAACCAAGGGTTCTGTAAAGTTGAGTGCGTGGATTCCATACCTTTCTCAGGCTTCCCCGGGGGGTGGGAGTGTTGGCACTGGGATCTGGAAAACAGTTTGACACCGAGGCATCAGATCCACCGCTTCTTGGTTTTCTTTTTCAAAGCAAGCCAGCCTCACAAGAGATCTGTCTACCTATGGCGTTTGCCACCACACCCAGCAGTTGTGCTTATTTTAAAACATACAAAATCTGAGATTCCAAGGCTCATGGTGTGCTAGCCACACAGGCTTGAGGACCAGAGTTCCCATCCCCAGAACATATATAAAAGCTGGGTGAGCATGGACGCCATCTTGGTCCCTTAAGCACCCAGAAGGTAGAGACAGGATCCCTGGCTCCCTAAAACAGCAGCTAGATTGAGGAGGTTCAGGCTCAGGTAGAGACCCTGCCTTAGTAAATAAAGTGAAGAGAGCTGGGGGAAACAACCATGTCAGCTTTGCCCCCCCCACACACCCTCACATGGGCCCCCACACATACATGCAAAGAAGGAAAAAACCAGAACATCCCTAAATTATGTCTAGTTCCAGCCCTTCCCACACCAAGACATGTGGACTTGAATGCAAACGTGTATTCTGACCTCTGCGTGCTCAGTTTTCCTCATTAGCCATTCCCAGCTTGTCAGAACTACAGTTGGACTGTCAGCAGTGTCTTCTAAAAGACTCCCCATTCTGTACCCGAGAGTTCTGAGCACTGTGTCAGTGAGGAGGAGATAGTCAACCCTGGCATCTCTTCCATCAGGAGGATGTTGCTGAGTCGGGGTCACAGGCTGACTGCAGACTCAGGGTCTTACAAGTGTGAGTCACTATGTCTGGTGTTACTCATCACTCTGGCCTGCCAAACACTTTATTTTTTTTTGCATTGATTCTTCAAAGTCAAAGAAGTCCTTTTTTTGTTGATTTGGTTTGGGTGCATGCGTGTGTGTGTGTGTGTGTGTGTGTGTGTGTGTGTGTGTGTGTGTGTGATAGGTAGCCTAGACTTTTCTCAAACTCACAATCCTGCCTTAGCCTCTAAGTGCTGAGATTACAGGTGTGTACCATCATGCCTGGCATAGACTGTCCTAACCATTCCTGTGTGGTAACTAAGAAGCTGAGATACAGAGATTAAATAGTTTGTAAAGATGGTAGTAAGTGAGACACAAAGATTTACACTTGACCTCAGGGGCACTGGGCAGCCAGCACTGCCTGCCTTAAACAGTCCATATATAAAAAGACGTCTGCGTGTCTGGGGAGCCTGGCCTTGCAAGCATTTGCTGAAGCCGGGGTGGGACAGAGGATGGTGGAGGAAGAATAGGCTAAGAAACGTATTTTTAGGAAATGTTATTTCCATGTAGTTCAGCTTTGTAGAGTTTTCTCTGATGGCTAAAATAGAAGGCAAGTTTAGCAGCTATGGAATCCACCCAAGGTGTCTGTACCTGCTTCCCTGAGGCCTTCACCCGCCTCCGTGCCCACTGTCTGCTTCAGCAGTGTCTGCAGGAGGGCGGTCCTCTCCAGCTCCTCCAGAGTCAGGCGAGCATCTTCTTCAAGCGCTGTGGGGTAGAGACAGACAAGTAGCCCTCCCTGGCCTTCCCCTGGCCACCTCCGTTCCCTGTCTCTGTTGAGTGCCAGGACAGGGAGGTGACTGACGGGACTCTGAATGAGGAGCTGGTGATCTCTCAGCAGTGGGGTTCAGCAGAAATAAAGGCGCCACACAGGCCAGGCAGGAGTCCAAAAGCGAGGAACTCGTGGACCACCCCGCCCTGCTATTGTGGCCACCCTACCACCAACTGCCTTGGGCAGGAGCGAGAGGCAGTGGCACAAGACCCCCCAGTGCTCGTTTGGCTCAGAAAGTCTGGTTTCTCTCATCTCCGCTTACCCCTTGCTACCTGCCGCCCCTCACCTCTTGAGGGGGGTGTGAACCGGAAGCCAAAGAAAGGACGGTGGCCTGCCTGTCAACTGCTCCTCACAGTGGGGACTCACTTGAGGCTTCAGATGCTGCATTGTGACTTCTGTGTGAAAGGTGATGGACGCCCAATGTGTGTGGGGTGTGTACAAGTGAGGGAAATGTGGCACGGGCGTGTAAGGTGTGCGTGGTCAGTGTGCACCGAGCGCACAGTGCACACAAGGTGTGGTCAATGTCTGGGTGTGTGTGCCCAGTGCATGCAAGATGTGTGTGACCCGAGGAGGCTGGCAGTGGGACATGCGTACGTGCCAGCACATTGAGATGCTCCGGGGGTCTGGTTGGAAAGCCACGCACACACACACACACACACACACACACACACACGCATGCACACACTCGACACTGGAATGCTGCAGGCTGACAAGCACGCACACACACACACGCACACACTCGACACTGGAATGCTGCGGGCTGACAAGCACGCGTGGGAAGATTGAACAAAGCATCATAAGGGCATGTGGGTGCGCTCACAGTATTCCCTGGGAGTGCTAATGATACCCTTCACACCCTGAGAATGTGTGGCTGTCTGTGCTGAGGGGCGCTTGTGGAGGAGCCAGCCCGAGGGAAGATTCTGTTTGGGACTTGAGGAAGAGGCTGCCCTCATTTCGGCTTTAACTGTAGACGTTTGAACTGGAGTCAGCACCTGAACACCCTTGATTTCTCTTTGCAGTGTGTACTGGCTCTTCTAAAATAACAGAATTGGCTCCTGCCCGGTTCTGAGCAGCAGGCTCAGTGCCAGTGTGAATTCAGTGACGCCAGCGGCTGATTGACAGAATGCGAGTGATGCTCAGAAATGATCAGAATGCCGGCTGGAACGGCACAGACTAGAAAGTGTAGCAGCAGTGCCTTGGGAGAGAACCTGCGTAAGACAGTGTCTGAGAGTCCCCACAAGCAGGGTCACGGAACTGGCGCCGCAGAGCAGAGGAAGGCACCTGCCACGGAGCCTGCCCACTGCCGGAGAGCCTGCTCCATCAAGTGGTCCTCCGACCACCATGGGGTGCGCATGCGTGATAAACGCAAAGGGGGTTTTGTTTTAAGTAGCCAAACTAAATATTAAATCCAGTTAAATTTTTATGGAATCTAATACAGTAACCTAATGCCAAATTAAGGGGTTGTGGTAGAATTTCTTTTTTTTTTTTTTGTTTAACTTGGACTTGAATAGAAAATTAAGTCATAAGGAAAACATACACATATTGGGTGTCTGTGAGGTCCCCAGCTTCAGCTGCCCCTGTGCTTGCCTAAGCCTTTGGTTTCATGCAACACAGATGATTGTTTTCTAACTCATATGATAAAATAAGGACCCTAGAGAAGACTGTGACCATTGCTAAATCTAAGACACACACAGTAAGGGTCCCCTGATCCTCTCTTCAGAGCATGCTCACACCTACGGCACACCCCCTTTTAGCCAGAACCCCGTCCTATTCCTGAGTGGCACCTTGAACTGATACCAAAAACCCCAGTCACCTCACCTGGGAGCTGAAGGTTCTTTCCACTGGTGTCAGTGATGGGAAGGGACAGGAGTGGGTTCAGGAGTCCTGTGAGGAGCAGGCAGCAGAAGGCCAGCCTATCCATGGTGACGGAGCGCAGTCCTGCTGGGCTTCTGCTCCAGAAGATTTCCGACTCCCTCCTCGAGGGATTGCCCGTTTTATCTATCATCCTGTGACCTCAGATGTCCCCTCCAAAAAAATAAAATGAAATTATTGGCTAGGGAGGCTAAAAGCCAATCACTTTGCATTGATGTAATTTTTCAAAGTAACAGTTCATAGACAATAAATTTACTGGCTTGTGGGCTGGTGTACAAAGTGGGTACTCCGTAGAGTACTGCACCGTTTATAAATCTGGCAAAATAAGAAACTCGGCCGTAAATCACAAATGAAAGACAGGGACAGACTTGATGTGGCCAAGGCAGAAGGACAAAGATTTATGAGTCGTAGAAAAAGCTATGCAGGGTATGACGTGAAATATGACGGCTTCCTTTTTAGAAAATCTTTCACTTGTGAATAGATGTGTTGTTGTGTTATATTAAACCAGTTTGAAACAGCAAAGACACGTAGCAAGCGTGGCTTGGCTTCCGGTAAAATCCCAAGCACTGGAGGCTCAGAGCAAGGTTTCCTGAGAGTGGGACAACACAGGAGGGCTGAAATATCTCTCCATGCCACCCGGACGGGACCACGCCTGGGCATTGGCTTCCCCAGACTGCACTCAGCCCAGCAAAGGGCTGCCGCTCATGCTAATCACATTGCCTCAGTTCTCTGCTTAAGGTGTGCGTGCGTGTGTGTGTGTGTGTGTGTGTGTGTGTGTGCGCGCGCGCGCGCGCGCGTGTATGTGTGTGCATGCGTGCGCGAGTATGTGTGTGTGCACGTGTGTGTGTATGTGTGGTGTAGTAGTAGCAGTAGCAGCAGCAGCAGCAGCAGATACCTGGTCCAACATGCCACAGCAAGAAGATCTCAAATTTAAGGCCAGTCTGGGCTACATCCATGAGTGTTTGTCCAACCCATGGGTACCAGATATTAAACCCAGAACCCCAGCTGAGTCTCTAAGTTAGTAGATGGTAGAGAACACCTACAGGAAAATGGCAGTAAAAGACAAGAGTCACCCCAAGACGTGCTGTGTGGGATAGGCATGGAATATTACAAAGCTGGAGGTAGTTGTCTGGGGACGGATTGTTTCTCTTTTCCTAAAATGCTGTGCCATAGGCTAGGGATGCAGCCCAGTGAATGCTTGCATGAGGCCCTAGGTTCAGTCTTAAACATAAGCCGGATACGGTGGTGTAGTAATGCCGACATTGGGGAGGCAGAATCAGGTGGATCTCAGGCCAGCCTGATCTACAGAGTGAGTTCCAGGACAGCCTGTGTTAGAAAAATTAAAGTTCGCCGGGTGTTGGTGGCGCACGCCTTTAATCCCAGCACTCGGGAGGCAGAGGCAGGCGGATCTCTGTGAGTTCGAGGCCAGCCTGGTCTACAAAGTGAGTTCCAGGACAGCCTCCAAAGCTACAGAGAAACCCTGTCTCGAAAAACCAAAAAAAAAAAATTAAAGTTCAACTAAAAGTCCATGATGGATGTGTTTGCATGTATGCAGTCTGCACACATGTGCATGTAAATCATTCATGTTCTGCCATTGCTAACAGGTGGAGAGCAGGCCAACAAGTCTAAGGGTCTTTGGTGACCCTGGAGGACAGTTGTGGGAGGAAGTACTGATGTCAGCCTTCTCCCTCCCCCAGAGGCTGGTTGCTTGCCAAGCTTTGTCATTCCCTGGTGACTCAGGGGTCCTCCTGACAGTTATTAGTGATGGTTTTTACTGCATGGCCTAATTAAGTTACTATGGAAGGCCTAGGCCTCAATGAAAATTAGCATCTTTCTTCAGTAGACTGTCAATGGCAATGTCACCTTGTTCCAGAAGAGCTCTGAGCCTTCAGCCCCCACAGTTGGTGTGTGAAGGTGTATAAGCATTTTTTTGTAGATGCTGCTCTCCGAGACCCTTGTCTCTCAAGAGGATGCCTCACAGAAGGGGGGGGTGGGAAAGGTTACCAGACCCCACCTGAGATCCCAACCCCTCCTCCTATCTGCCCACACACACACTACCCCACCCCTGCCAACTGTCTGAGTCTGCTGCAGCTGTACACATTCTCAAAAGGCGCTCAGAAGTACCTAGAGTGCAGGCAGTTAACCGAAGGGAGGACCCCCATCTATAATGGGGTGAGCCTTTTCGCTGATGCAGGTGCTTTGGGGTGATCCGTGCTCCTGTTGGCCGCCCCTCACTCATGCTCTGTCAGCTCAACAGATTCTTTAGTTCGCCAGGGTTAACTTGTGTGGAACTGTGGCTTTGGTCTGTGTCGGAGGGAACAGATGCTTGTTCACACCTCCCTGGGAGAGTCCCAGCTGTGCTACAAGAGCTGTGGCTTCACATTCATGCGGGGACACCAACGAATGGCGGCCACCTCAAGAAGTACCATATCTGTAGCCAGCTGCAAAGGCCTTGACTAAACCAGAGAGATCCGGGTGTGGTGGTGCATGCCTGCAACCCCGGCATTTGGGAGAGTGACAGGAGAGTCTGCAAGCCTGGACTGCAAAGCGAGACCTTGTCACAAAACAAAACAAGGTCACACAAAGACCTGTAACTTATCACAACTAAGTCATTGTCGGTTTGTATTTCGGGTAACTGGTTACTGGTTATTCCCGAAAATGCTGTCCCCAGACAGCTATATAGCTAACTCATTCCCCTACTGTAATGGGCAAACATTATTTAAAACTGCAAACTGCATTTCCCATCCTCTTGCGCTCTCTCTCTCTCTCTCTCTCTCTCTCTCTCTCTCTCTCTCTCTCTCTCTCTCTCTCTCTCTCTCTGTGTGTGTATGTGTGTGTGTGTGTGTGTGCATTACACACACGTGTATTCATGTGAAGGGAGCTGTGCATATATCCCTGAGTGAGCATGGAGAGGTCAGGCTGGGTCAGTGTCAGGTGTCTTCGTCCGCAGCTCTTCACCTTATTTGTGAGGAACTCAGCAGTCATCCAGACTGACCAGCCAGGAGCTCCAGAGATCCTCCCGCCTCCATCACCGAATGGTGATCCACCAGCCCCTGGGGTCACAGGTGAGGCAGCTGCATCCAGCTTTTTTTTTTAATGGGAAAAAGAGCCGGGGACCTCATGCTTGTCTTGTGAGCTCTCCACCCACAGAGCTCTCTCTCCGGCCCCAGCCCCGCCTTCTTAATGGACAAACTTACTCGGATTTGCCCGCTGGCGTCTCCCGCCTCATTCCTTGCGTTTTACCTGTGTCTTAGTCACAGCCGCCTCACGTTTGGTTGAGGCGTTCTGCTTACTGGGGTTGTGGTCCACACAGGTGGTAGTTGTCTGTGTCTGCCCGCTCCTTGCCCCGTTAGCGCCTGGTCCTTGTTCAGCACAGCCTTGGGTTCCGAGAGTCCTGGTTGTCTATCAACCCCTGTGGTGGCTTGAATGAGAATGGCCTTTTGGGTTCATCATATTCTTGATGTTTAGCCCCCAGCCAGTGGAACTGTTTAGGAAGGATCAGGAGGTGTGGCCTTGTTGAAAGAGGTGTGTCACCAGGGTGGGGGGAAGGGGTTGCTCTCAGGTTTCAGAAGTCCGAGTCAGGCCCAGACACACGCACCCGCACCTGCAAGCTAAAGGCCATGTGTGAGCTCTTAGCCACTGCTCCAGCACCATGCCTGCCTTCCTGCCCCCCCCCCATGGTCCCCGCCATCATGATCGGGGACTCACCCTCTGCTTCCTTTCATACTCATGGTGTCTCCTCACAGCAATAGGACAGTGGCTAAGTCACGCCCCCCAAATGTGGCTTCAGATAGTAACCTTCATAACCCTGTAGGCTCCTAATTCCGGCATTACCCAGACTGTTGAAAGCCTGTTGCTGGCCTCACAGAGGAAATGACCCAGGCTAGCCACTAGGCCTCCCTTCGCTTATATCTTATCCCCAAGCAGTTTACCCTGGAAAACTCACAGGGCATCTTGAGGCAGACTAAGGACAAAATCAGGACTTCGGAGTCCAAAGCTCAGAAGCTGCTCAAGTCCCCTGCATTCTCTGGGTCCAAGCAAGCCCTCGGGTCAGCCTCAACTCCAGAGCTGATGCCCTGGTCTGTAGGGCTGCCCCACCAAAGCCTCACTGAAGGGGCTCGGAGACAGATTGAGGCCAGCCCACTGTAGGACTGGTTTCTGCTGACGGCAGGTGGCACTTGCTTCCTGGTGTGCGCGATGGCTGTCCTCCCTGCTTGTCTGTATTCTGTTGTCTTGCACGTGTGTGCACATGTGGAGACCAGTGTCCAGCCTCTGATGTCGTTCCTTAGGAGCCACCCATGTCGTTTTCTGAGACAGTCGAGACAGTCTCTCACTGGCCTTGGGGCTCACCAATTTGTCTAGGTTAAATGGCCAGTGAGCCCTAGAGGTCAGCCTGTGTCGTCCCCCCAATGCTGGGATTCGAAACACATGCCCCCACGCTCAGCTTTGCCTCATGAATTCTGGGTAATCATACTGGTCCTCACGCTCGCCTTCCTGAGCCGTCCTCCCAACTCCCTGCTGCTCTCTTTGTAGACACCCATCCGACTAGAGTAGGCCCGCCCACCGTAACGACCTCCGTGTTTACTTAGTCACGTGTGTCTCCTCAGTCCAGTCACATCCTGGTGTGCACCTGAGAGATAATATCCAAGGCTGTCCTCTGGACTCCGCCCACAGCTACACCCACCCCCACTGAAGTAGTCTGCTCCAGTGGCCGAGGACCTTCTGGAGGCTGAGGGCTGAGGTGCTGCGGATGGGTCCTTCCAAGGCCTCCTTGGCTTGAAGATGGGGTCGTCCCCCGTGTGCTCTACCATGATGTCCTGAACCCTCTGAGAGCATAAGCCCTTTCCTCCTTCCTGACAGGTGTCTGGTCCCAGCAACCCAGAAGTAACTCACGCAGACGCATTAAACTGTACTAAAATAAAATCATTTACAAGATAGTAGCACAGAAGAACCCAACTGTACAGAATTTTCCCTTCTTTCCTACACAGTGGTTTCCACAGACAGAAGGGAATTCACTGATCTCCCAGGGGAGCCCCAGAAGAAATGTGTTGTGCTGTTCTGTGTGCTCTGGTCCTTTTAGGGAGCGACCTCCAGGTTAGCATGCTCCAGAGGTGTGTTCACACCCACTTTCAAACAGGTCAGCCGGGCGGCATTACCCTGGTTGCACATGGGGAGGGCACCCATTCAGGAGCATAACCTACGAAGCCCATGGATCTGGCTTGGGGTGTGAGGATGACAGAGAGAGAGTCTATTCTTGTTTTGTGTGTACGTGTCTGCTTGTCTGTGTGCTGTGTACCTGTCCGTGCTTGTAGAGGCCAGAAGAGGCCATCCAGAAGATCCCCCAGGACTGGAGTTACAGATGGTTATGAGCT